TTTGGTTCAACACCCATTATTTCTAGATGAGCACAGTTTCATTTCTGAACATGCATTTAGTTCTCCCAATACCTGATTCTCTACCGGTGTTTATGAACAGTTTGAATGAATTAATGAGGATCCAAGTCTATGGACCACTCACATCTCCATTCAGCTTCTGAAGGATCCCTCCTTAGCACTTCTGTTGACCAGCAAATTAGTGGAGGAACAAGCCAGAGCCTTCTGACCCAGAGTGCCAATGATAATTGTCTTCAGGAGAAAATAAGGAAGTTACAAAGCACACATGCATTTCTTCTTCTTTTTTTTAAGATTTTATTTATTTATTTGACAGTGATAGCAAGAGAGGGAACACAAGCAGGGGGAGTGGGAGAGGGAGAAGCAGGCTCCCCGCCGAGCAGGGAGCCCGATGCGGGGCTCGATCCCAGGACCCCGGGATCATGAGCTGAGCCGAAGGCAGATGCTTAACGACTGAGCCACCCAGGCGCCCCGCGTCCATTTCTCCTAAAGCCTGAGTCATCCCTCCTGTTGTAATAACATCTGCAGGGCCTTCCTGAGCGCCATTACTGCGGTGAGTCAGGCCCGTGGAGAGGATCCTGAAAGCTGGAGCAGCCAGAGACCCCAGGCTGGGGGGCCTGCCCTGTCTCTGGTCAGCTCCCACTCCTAGCCCTTTTTGCCCTCAGTTTGGGCCTTTGCCAGGATGAGGACACCCGCTCTCATTGCCACCTTTTCTACTACCCCCGGAGTGAATTCACCCATCTCATCTGGAAAATTGTCTGTACCGTGAGTCAACTTTCTTTTTCCTTTTTGTGGTTCTCTGAAAGACAGCCTGAGTTGCATAGAGTAGGGAAGTCGTTTTCGAAGTTCTCTCCTCTACCTCAGGGTAAACAGAGTTCCATTAATCATTGATAGACTCAAGGGAAAGCCAAGTGATCAACACTGTACTATATTTCCACTAGCCTCACCCTCCCCAGCTTTGGAAAGTAAAGCAATACTTGATTAGGGAAATGATAAAACATTTTTCTCATATAAACATTGTGTGCCTAGCACCACAGTCTCTGTGCTGTAGACATCATAAGCACTATTTAAACTGCCCAGAGAGAGATCTGACCAGAACAGGCCAAGACTTCTCAACCTTGGCACTACTGACACTTGGACCTGATATGAATCTTGTTGGGAGTGGGGGCTGCCCTGTACACTGTAGGACCCACTAGACGATCAAAAATGTCTGCAGATAGGGGCGCCTGGGTGGGTCAGTCGTTAGGCGTCTGCCTTCGGCTCAGGTCATGATCCCGGGGTCCTGGGATCGAGTCCCACATCGGGCTCCCTGCTAAGCGGGAAGCCTGCTTCTCCCTCTCCCACTCCCCCTGCTTGTGTTCCCTCTCTCGCCGTGTCTCTGTCAAAAAATAAATAAAATTTAAAAAAAAATGCAGACATTGTCAGATGTCCTCAAGGTAGGGGAGCAAAGTCCAGTGATTTAGAACCACCGGAACAGGCCTATTCAACTGTTGTTATGAGCAGAAGCTTAGCTGCTCCCACCCCTGTAGGCCTCGTCCTAATGCCTTAGACTTCAGTGGGCATGGATGTTTGCTAAAGCAAATCAGATTCAAGAGGCCCAGTTCTGAAGAAAAACTTCAGTCCTATTAAGCAAATTATCTCTTTCTGGCCTAAATCTCCATATCCTAAAGTTGCATGGTTACGAAATTTGCTGTGCAATCAGCGTCTTTAGTCTCATGAAAATTAAGTTGTCAACATAGAACACGTGACGTCTGATTCTGTGTTTAAGAAAGGAATGGTGGGGCGCCTGGGGGGCTCAGTTGGTTAAGCGTCTGCCTTTGGCTCAGGTCATGATCCCTGGGATCAAGCCCCACATCAGGCTCGCTGCTTAGTGGGGAGCCTGCTTCTCCCTCTTCCCCTGCCCCTCCCTTGTGCATGCTCTCTCAAAACAGAATCTTAAAAAAGAGTGGTGGCACCATGGAACGCTGGGCCTCATTTTATGATGTGGCTGAGTAATTTGTTGGTTGTTTCTTTGATGTCATTCCTTAGGGTCCAGAGAAGCTTTCTGGAACATTCCTTTTGGAACCAAACTGTTTATGCTTTTGAAGTATTCTGTGGCTGCCGAGAATTCTCATTAACTGATATGGGGGGTTGGTATTTAATGGACTTTCCCCAGGATTGTAAGAGAGGTTCGAACATTTTTCCTTGTTCATCTTATGAATTATTTCCCTTCTTATAGTTACGACCTTTGGCAGATTTTTAGCTCCAACAGTAAAGTGGAACAGAATTGCAACTACAGTTCCTGTAACAAGCCATGTCAGATACAACCCTACAAGTAAGATTGTGACTGTGGTCACATTACTTCATTGGAAAATAAAAATCAAAGAGTAAAAGCAACAGGAACCATGAAAGAAATCACCATTTGCCAAAACTGATGTTTGTCCGGATCAAGCAGAGTTTATACTAACAAACTAAAAAATCATGGAAAAAAATCAACCTCACAGACTCTAAAAATCCATCTAGTTAAAAACAGAAGTATTTACATTTTAAATTACCTTGATCTGAACTCCTCCAAGGAAATCTACATCATTAAATTCCCCACGGCCTTAAAATGGATGAGAGAGATTTTAAGGTGACCTGTTTTCTTGGTTAGCTGCATTATAGGAGAACTAGGTAATCCATTCTCAAGTAAGCCTTTCAAAATGGCCTGTTTGCATTCGGAGCTCTCCAGTTCTGCAGTCCTATAAAGTGACCTAACCACCAGTCTGTGGTTCACGGGAAATAATGACCCAACTTCTTGACGCCAGGAGAGCAGTGTGCTCAGACCTCTGTATCGTTCCCTGACCCCCCTCCCCCACCCCACCCTCAGCCAGAAAAAGGAAGCAAGGTCCCAGGCCATGATAACAAGACTGTGCTGGCATGGGCCCAGTGCTTAGGGTGTTTAGTAGTCTCTCAAGAAAAGAGGTCATTGCACGAAAGCACACATTTTAGATCATTGCTTTATTTCACTATTGTTTAACAACAAAGTTCATTCCTCTTCAGGTGGATCTTGAATTGTTCCTTGTGTTCTTTTCCTCATCCTGAATAAAAAAGGTAATGAAGAAAAAGCCTGTACTTTTGGAGACCTAAAATCTTGCTTTTGCTAATAAGCTTTTGACTGCAATTTCGTGGTCCGGTATTTCCTGCTGGCATCTTGGTGGTCCCACGGAGCTTCCCACCCTCCAGTGAAGATGGCTGTCCACAACTACCACCGTTGAAACCAAAAGTAAGTGTTGAAAAATGCACCTTTTACAATAAAAAAGTAGAAACCAATTCAATTTCCTTTTTTTTTTTTTTACGAATATAAAGTTTCTTGTAAATATGTACAGTCTTTTGAGCTAGTTCTATAGCAGGAAGCATTTCACAAATGAGACACACGATATACACTTTCCGGGCTCAAGAAGCCCAATTCTCATGGAGATCCTAAATGAAATGCCAAGACTGAAAGACCAGTTTTCAGTGACCTTTCCAAATACTTGTGGACCAAGAGACAAAAACTTCAGCAAACATTCAATCTGATCTGCCCTGGGGAAGGGAGGGGATGCAGTATGACCCCAAAGACTCCAAGCAACACATAAAACAACAGTGTGACACCTGCCAAGGCCGTTAACAACATGAGGGAGGGACACAGGCGTTCCAAACAAGAAAGCACTTAGGTTAAGAGACTAGCAGGAGGGAGCTGGGATTTGGGCCAGGTTGCAATCTGGAAAGTGATCTGAACTGCGGACAATGTGGGTGGAAATGTGGTTATGTTCACCTGCGGTGGTGGAAACAGGTCTACCTTTCAGCCTACCTAGGATGTGCCTTGGTGGTTTGAGGCCTAAGAGTCATGGAGAATCTGAAGCAAGAGATGCCTTATGGGAGATTAAAGGCAGAAATAAGGCCGCTAGTTAGCTTGCCAACTGCAAAGCCTCTAGGTTGCTGCTTTACCAGTTGCCAGGAATTTTGCATTCTGGTAGCGGGTCGAGAGAGAACCCGTGTGCGCCGCGCTGCACCTAAGGGAGGACCTCCCAACCCCAGCAGAGGCGGAGGAGGGGCCACGGTGCTCTCGAACTTCCTGGTCTTCGTCCAGCCCTAGGGAAAGGCTCCCTTGGGAAGTCACAGTTTCGTGGGGGTAGAACCCTGCTGGATTGTGTGTGAACACAGAGTCATTCACGAGGGAGTCGGCAGGGAAGCGGGAAAGTGTGAGTTGGTGGTTTGCTGAAATCCTTCTCCGGTCGTAAGGCTTGAGCGTTTGGTTGGTGGTTCAGTGCTACAGACTGCAGCTTGTTGGGGCCAGTGAGTTGGCAAGTGGTCAGAGGGTCTCAATTCAGCGGGAGCTGTGGTATGGTACTAGTACATCGGCAGAGCAACCCAAGGGGGGCAGCCAGGTCGGGGGCAGGGGGGAGGGGGGCAGCACATGCAGTGAACCGCCATGCAGAACTCCCGGACGGGACTCTTCCCATCCCAGGGTGGAGAACAACGCACTGTCGTGGACAGGAAGTAGGCGCCCCCGGTCCCCTCGCGGACCCAGAGACTCCTTAATGCTGGGCTCCGAGCAAGTCTATTGCATGCTTTCCTGGCCCAAGCTATGTGGAAAGCAGGGACAGCAGGCTGGGGAGATGACGCTGCAGGGCAGGGAGGGAGAGCTCCTTGAGGTCCCATTGCCCCAAGTCACTGCCTCCAAGCTGAGGCCCGATGACCTCTGTACATTCTCAGCTGGTGGGAGGGGAAGTCGTCAAGGCCATAAAAGGCAATGAGAACAGTAAACATTTGGCTAAGATGTCACCCTGGGTAAAACAGGGCCATCTGCGAGGATGGACTGGGATAAGAATGAACCTACATGAGCTCAGGAGGTTGGCCAACTGGCGGGGGACTCTTCCACAATACGTTTCCAGAGCAAAGACCTGATGGTGTGATCTAGCTAAAAATAACTACAACGGGAAATACATTGCTATTCAAATCTATTAAGAATTCTGTTGTCTTAAAAAAAAAAAAAAAAAGGAAATCCAACCAACCCTAGGATCTTAAAGTAGCTATTAAATAGGATTCTAACCACGGTGTAGTTAGCGCAGGTTGGTTTCCTTTGATGAACCGGTACAGGCTAGAGCTAGGTATAAAAGTTTATGAATGCTCTGAAAGAGTAACAAAGTGCACAGAGGATGACTGCAGGAAGGCGCTGACAGCTCCTAAGAGCCTCGGCTCCTGCACCGCCTGGATGCAGGGTGTCCACACTGAGGTGGCTCTGGGCCCAGCTGTGCCTTGGGGTGGCTGAGCAGATGGGTGCTGGGGGCCCCTTCAGCAGAGTTCCTTAGAGTGTTTGGTATTTTCCTGCAGATTAAGATGAGAAGTTGGTTTTCCTGGCTGAGATTTACACTGAAGACTGGTCCCAGACCTAGGAGCAAAATAAGGAGGAGTTTTAGCTGAGGGGGCCAGGAGTCCCTGGGCTCGCCCCACATAATCCCAGTAGGAAGCGTGCCACACTTGGTCTCCCTGTGGCCGTCAACGCCGAGTGCTGCCCAGGCCAGCAGCGGCGAAGAGAGCCAAGCCACTGAGCTCGGGGTTCGTCAGGCAATGTAATTCACGGAAAATTCTCCAAAGCTATGGATGGATCTCTGTTACACATACACATACACTTGTCCCCGTTTTATCGGTAAATCAGAGGGGCTGAGAAGAAACACTGACTGGCTTTTCCTCTTCTCTTTATTGGCAGGGGTCCCAACAGTGACCTGCAGGTGGCATTAGGAGAATGTGATCTAGAAAACCAGCCCCCCTCCTGGCCCCCTGGGACAGAAAGGTTGCTGTGCTGTCCAGAGGGGGCCCCTGGAACTGGCTAGCCTGCCGAGGAGGCACCAAGCACTCAGACCCTCCCCCTGCTCATGGGGGCCCCTTTGTCTTCAAGACCTCCCACCATCTCTTTATTCGCTAACTTGAAAACTTATACAGATAACACAAGCATACGATTTAGAGATTTCAAAAGGCTCCAAGTTCTAGAAGGCAACCAGTGTTCCCAGTTTCTGTGTAGCCCTCCAAAAAAAGTTCTTGGTGCACATGTGTATCTGTATATGCACTTGAAAAAAATAAGGCGTGAACATTTTGTGTAGTATGCTATCATTTGTGTTTAAGAAGGGAGGATACGCACATTATACGCCCAGAATATCTCTAGAAACTGCTAACACTGGTTGCCTCTGGGGAAGGGAATGATCTACCCTAGGGTAGCTATTACATTTTGAGGTACACATGTACACATCATCCATCTGCTTAGAAAGCCCTCTTAAATGTTTTCTTCCTAAACTTGCTATATGTCCTGAAAAATCTGATAAAAAATCCCCCCCCCTTTTTTTTTCTCCAACAGTGGCCCTGAAGGGCCCTCAGCTCCCCAGGTCACTCCTCTGGCCTCAGGATGTGCCTGACCTTGTTGACCTGGGACAGTGGGGTCCTCACGGCTCCCACAGGCAGCCGGCCCCGGCTGCTGTCTTCAAACAGCCTCCCAGGGGAGCGTTCCCTCCGCGTGCTGAGCATCCGGCCTGGGGACTTCTCCCGCTCCAGGGGGCGGCCAGGAGACTTGTCCCTGCGCAGCTCCGTCCGCCCCTCCCGGTAGCGGTGGGGTGTGCTTGGCTCTCGCGGGTGGCTGGGGCCTTCCGGTGGTGCCGGGCTAGAGGCCACACGCTTGGTGATGTGCTCGTTGTACGTTGGCGGGCCTCGCTTATTGGGGCTGCGGGCAACAGGAAAGGGAGATGCAGAGCTGAGCAGTCATAACCCCAAAGGGGCATCTTCCTCCTCTGAGAAACACCCATGCCCCAATCTTCAGTAGAAAAGATCCCACCTGGAGTTCTTCAGGCTTTTTGTTTTCTTTAGGTAGTGAGGACAGGGAAAGAAAGATGACAAAGCCCAAAAAAACAAGCTTCCTGCTCTCAGTGCAGGTTTTCACTGAGCACCTACTGTGTGCCCAACCCTGTGCTAAGCTCTTTATGTGCTTCGACTCATTGAATCACCGTAACAGCTCCACAAGCTAGGAACAAGCATGACCCTCACCGTTCAGACAAGAACCTGGAGCTGCAGAGCTGGGACTCTGACACAGGTCAGTTTGACATCCTAACCCCCGCCCTGTATCCTACTGGCCTAGTATTTTGCAGAGCCTAGAAGGCACAGAAAGAAGTCTTCATTTAGGGGTTGAGACTGCTACCAGGCCCTTGATACAAGGGAGCAATTTTGAGAAAGCCTGTGCTCATCACTGTCAGCTGCCATCTCTGCCCCCGCCCCCCCGGCCTGGTGCTCAGTCACCTCTCCTTCCAGGTGGCTTTCCAAGCCCCTTTGGCACCTAATACTGATGTGAGAGGTGTGGGGATCAGGCCTGACAGAATTAGAAAACTGAGCAGGACAAATAAAAACAGTACAGTTGGCTCAAAACATGTCCCTGGCCCCAAAGGTTTATAGTAATAACCCAACAATTGAAAACACTGGGGCCTTTTTGTATGGCCCATCCAACCCTCCATCCAGCTCTGGCCTGGAAATTTCAAATGAAGATTTCAGCAGATACAGCCCTAACCATCTCTCTGAAGAAGTGAGATCCAGAAACAGAACTGAGAGTCAATTCCTTCCCACACCAATGAGCAGAAAAAGTACTCAATCCTCATCATCTCAGCACAATTAGAGCTAGGAAAAGGGAACCTACTTAAAATGGGCACATTTTATAGAGAATATTACTTGGAGAACATATTTTGATTGGGGCTTTATCTCAGAAAATAGAAGTAGAAATCAAGAAAGTAAATTTATCCTCATTATTATTAAAATCGAAATTACAATTGGAATTATGTGCCGATTCTAAGAATGAGCCAAGTATGAATCACATACTGATTTAACTTGCTCTAATTTTCGCAACAAAATTGTATGCTAATATGCTCAATGACATACTTTCTGTCAATGTTGGACTTCTGCAGTAAAGTCAAAGTCATTTCTTAAAAAATGAAAGTGTCATTGATTTTCCCAGAGGCCTATCTTAATCCTTGATATTTAAATCCTTCTCTTTGAAAGGGGCCAAATTTGTTGTTTTTTTCTTCAGTTATTGATCTAACTGCCAGAATTGCTTTTGTCAATGCCCATAATTAAAAACAAGAAAAACAGGGCGCCTGGGTGGCTCAGTTGGTTAAGCGACTGCCTTCGGCTCAGGTCACAATCCTGGAGTCCCGGGATCGAGTCCCACATCGGGCTCCCTGCTGAGCAGGGAGTCTGCTTCTCCCTCTGAACCTCTTCCCTCTCATGCTATCTCTCATTCTCTCTCTCTCAGATCTCTATCTCTCATTCTCTCTCTCTCAAATAAAATCTTTTAAAAAAAATAAAAACAAGAAAAACAAAGACATCTACTGGGGGAGGAGAGACTCTAGAGCAAGCTTGAGGGCCAAATCCAGACAGATGACCTTATAAATAAAGTTTTATTGGAACACAGCCATGCCCATCTGGTTAGGCACTGTCTATAGCTGCTTTCACACAACAATAGTTGAATAATTGAGACAGACCATATGGACCACAAAGCCAAAAATATTTACTATCTGAACCTTTACAGAAAAAGTTTGCCGATTCCTGCACTACAGTGAAACAGAAGGGTGAGTAGAGAGAATTTGATAAGTGATCAGTTCATTGTGAAGATTTTCATGTGATTCTCTGGTTTCCCTGTGCAACTCTAACTGTGAAGATTCCAGACAACATGCCCAGAAAGCCAGAACCCCCCTGTGCTACATGTCCAGTGGAAAAAATTTAAGGTAACTCAGATTTCAACATCTTGAAATAAAGTTTTATATTCCTCTCTAGTCATGTGGCTTTAAGATATGGAAGACAAAAATAAATAAATTCCAAGTAGGAGAATTATATTAAGCCTATTTGTAATGGAAGGGAAATTATAAAATGTGTCCACAGGGGCCCATCATAAAGCAAGAAGGATGGCTCCAAGAAGACCATTTGGAATGTTGGCTTAGATTAATGGAATGAAAGAAAATACCCATCATTCTAGGCTAAGGGGGCAATCTTCCATCTCTGTGTCCATTAATGACCAATGCTCTCCCATGCCAATTTTATGGGTTTTTTTGTTTGTTTGCAAAGAGTTACATTTCCTGCTCTGCTAAACAGACCAGGTCAGTGAGGCCTTGTGGTGAATCACACTCAACCAAACTGTGGCCTTCTACATTCTGACCTGCCAAAGCAGCCTGCATAAAAAAGACCATTTTATAAGCCAAGAGACAAGCAGAGGCTAACTGCGATTTTCCAGACATGCCTGGCCACCGCAGGAAAGCAACAGCATTGTCTCTGCCTCTCCTTCACAGGAACTGGAACTCCTTTCAACCAGAGAATAAGCAACTTCTTACAGAGATGCTATATAGTCTCAAAAGGAAGGCGCCTGCCATCTAATTAGTAAGGCAGTAGAGAAAAAAAATCTATAGTACTTTGATTTGTTCTTGGCATGACTTAAAATCTGGACATTTTCAGGAGAGTCCTTTGAGCAGTTACTCTTGAGGCAGGGTCAGGCCAAAAGAGTTAGGAACTGCTGGTTATTTACCACTTCTGGTTTTCTAGCACGTGCCTGGGATTAAAATTACACTGACCAAACATTTAGACTAACCTCTTGTATTTCAACAGAAGAAAGACTATTCATTAGGACGTAGTCTCAAAATGTTAGATTTATGATGTTCTTTTCCAAGACCTAAGCACTTTTTAAATATTAGAGGTAGTTCCTTCACCAAATTGAGAGTCCCTTGAGAATAGAAACATGTCTTCATCAGTGTATCCCCAGCCCCAGATACCTTGTCTAGCACACGGTAGGGGATCCGCATAACTCTTTACAGGGTAGACACAGCAGGGCAGAAAATTTAAATCCTAGGTCAGTTAAATATTTCCCTGGGTTAAATAATCTCAGAACTACTTTGTAGACCAAGAACTTAAAGTTACACATCTCAAACCTACCCATCAACCTGGATCTGGCTGAAAGACTTCTATGTCAAGGCAAGGTCAGTCCCACTTCCCACGCACTGCTGGTAGGATTACAAATAGATATAGTCTTCAGGGAGGAATACTCAGCAACATCTATCAAAATTACAAATGGACATCTGATGTCACCCAACAATTTTTTTTCCTAGGGATTTATCCTACAGATGGATTCCTAAGCATGCAAAATGACATAAGCACAAAGTCATTTAATTTATTACAGCAACAGTCTGTGAACCACCGAAACATCCAGATAAAGGAGCAGTTAAATAAATTAAGGTCACACGAAGGCATAAATGCCATGTAGGCATAAAAAACAATGAAGAAATACTTCTGATACTGACATGGAGCAACCTCCAAGATACATTAAGGTACAGAAGAAGGTGCACAGTGTGCTATCACCTGTATTAGAAAGGAGAGGAACGCTTCCAGAACGGTACAGTAAGGACTGCTGAAAACCCGTTCCTCCATAAAAGCAACCAGAACACTGGCAACAACTGTCTAAATCAACTTTTCAGAACTCTGGAAATTAACCAGAGACTTGCAACAACTCAAAGAGCAAGAGCATTTATGTAAAAAATAGCTGAATCTCCGTAAGAACAAGCTTTGTGACATGTTAATGTGACCTTTTCCCACCCTTTTCTCCCCAGATCTGCAGTAGTTTTGAAACCAACAGCCAGGTAACCACAGCAGCACTGGAGGGAGATCAGGATTGAAGCCCCAGCCCAGCAAACAGTCCCCATCCGACCTGTCTGGCTACTCCTCTGGCTACCATTTTCCGGGCTCTTTAGCTGACCTGACACAGGGTTTGCTCATGAGAAAAGCCCTATTCCCAGATGTTTATCAAAAACAATCAGCAGCAAGTGTTTAACCTGGCAAATACCTGAGGCAGTGATACCAGTTGGGGAAGAGGCTGGCCAAAACACTCAGAAGGCAATCTCGGAATAAGATGTCTACAGGGCATTTTGAAATGGTCCCACATATTTGTAGGAATCTAGAAGGCCACGCACACGGGCAAGGCTCTGCAAATGCCCAGGAAAAATCTGAGAAGGCCTCAGTCTCTCAACTCTGGCTGACTTTGAGCATTGAAGGTATGCCCAACACACATACATATACACACACACACACACACACACACACACACAACCCCTCAGCAAAGGGTGGGAGACTTCCTGGTTCAATGCATTGAAGGAAATCTCTGCCCAATCATTAGCAGATGACTAACTTAACCAAGCAGAAACCTGAATGGCCACACAAAACAAAGAATACAGACTTTACAGATTTAGTCCCAGAGGGTCACTCAATAAACTGCAACAACAAACGCAGGGGAGGGGGGGGGGGTCTGGGTGGGGGTCTGATTTCCAGAGTTGCCACATTATATTATTTGAAATGTTCAGTCTCCCAACAAAAAATTAGAAGACATGCAAAGAAAGAGGAAAGCATGGCCCATACAGAAGGCCTTATTTCTTCTGCGAAATCTTCCTTGGCCTCCATTGTCCAGGCTGGGAACCCTCCTCTGGGTTCTCAAGGTGTCTTAAACTACCCCAGTTTGAGCCCCATCCTCCTAGGCTGTGCTGTAATTGCCTGATTGCTCATGTCTCTCGCCCACTGGGCTCTACGAGGGAGGGACTGCATCTGGTTTATGCGGCGCTATACCTCCCATAGCAAGCCCAACTAGCAAGGCAGAGTATCTGCTAAAGCAACGAATGCATAATTCGTGATCCATTCTAGTGCCACTGAGAATACCCAACAGAGAAAGACCAGACATTTCCTTCCACCTTTTCCAAAGGGGCATTTAAAAATTCTCCCGATACTTGACAAGGATGGAGTCACTTTCATGCTGTATCTCAAAGAAAGGAGTGGTTTGAGCTTGAAGATTGGGGAAACCTTCGACCAGCTTAGCAAAATTTCCTTCTACCTTACAGAAAAGCACTCTGCGTCCTATAATGAAGAAGAGAGGAAGTATGGTACCTGCGGGAGGTGGGGGGGCCCCGGTGGTGGTCAGTGCCAGACTCCTTCACGAGGTTTCCTTTGCAGCAAATGACCCGTAATTTATCCTGGTATGAGGACGCCAGGTAAATCGCTCCTGAGGAAATTGCAGGGCCCAAGTAGCGTGGGTTCGGGATTTCCAAATACGCTCGGGCAGGAGTCCTGAGGAGTTCCAGGTAAGAGTTTACATTCAGGTTACCTCCATTGCTAGGCGGGATGGGAAGAAACAGACACTTGGCCCCGACCCCCGACCCCAACAGCTGAACTTTTCAAAGCCTGAAAGGGCAATGCTTACCCCAGAGAGGAGCGTGCCTGGATCTCAATGACTTCGAGTGAGTTGAAGTGGGTCACAAACAGATAGGGTTCTCTGTAGGCTGCATGGCCACCACAGAAGAAGAGCATGGAGCAAGGGTTAAAAGAGGAAATCAAAACCAGGCTGCAGTGCCACCTTGGAGCCAGCAATTCCACCTAAAATAATTTAGCCTACACATACATCCATGTGCCAACATAATGAGGCATGTTCAAGTTTACACACTGCCATGTTGTCAGAGCAGAAGATGGGAACCAAATCAAGGGTACGTTATAGGGGGTCAGGTAAATATATTATGGTTCAACTGTGGGATTCTGCACAGCTATAAAAATGCATGAAGCTATGTACGGATGCATAAAAAACCCTGAGGTGTGTTTTACTTGGTGTGCAAATTAAGATTCAGAATAATGTGTAAAGTGTGGCACCACACTGATTAAAAAAAAAAGTGTGTGTGGGGGGGAGGATAAGAATATATTTTCGAGGCGCCTGGGTGGCTCAGTCGTTAGGCGTCTGCCTTCCACTCAGGTCACGATCCCGGGGTCCTGGGATCGAGCCCCGCATCGGGCTCCCTGCTCCGCGGGAAGCCTGCTTCTCCCTCTCCCACTCCCCCTGCTTGTGTTCCCTCTCTCGCTGTGTCTCTCTCTGTCAAATAAATAAATAAAATCTTAAAAAAAAAAGAATATATTTTCTTACGCATCTGTATTTGCACAAAGCACTGAAAGGATAAGAAACAGGAGTTTCCCCCCCACATCTTGGGGGAGTGGGGGTGGAGAATTGGGGAGAGAGGTTATATGGGAACTTTTCATTGTATACCTTTTTAAACTGTTTAATTCTGTACATTTTCAAAAAAAAAATTAAAGACTGAGTTCAAGGATAATTAAATATTTCTAATCTTAATACTGTATGTCTATATCATAGCATCAGTGAAACTCTAGGATACGATGGGAGCCTTTTCTGTCTTAAAAGGAAAAGGAAATTATCACTGTTATCCCTTGTGGTAAACCAAGACTTTGGTTTTGGACAATGAGTCATGCCTCCCGGTACTCAGGGCCCTGGTGGAGCCTCCTTGCCTTGAATCTAGGCTGACCCCGTGGCTGCTTTAACCAGTAGAATGTGGTGGAAGCAACAAAGGCCAGCCAGCTTCCACTTTCGCACTCCTGGAAGAAGCACACGTGGAGAGGAACTGAGGTCTCCAGCCTCCAGCCTCCAGCCCTGAGCCCCGGCTGAGTTCCCACCAATTATACCAATTGGCCGCCATTTTGTGAGGCCATTTTGGACTTTCTAGTTATCCCAGTGCCCCCACTGGTACCACATGAAGCAGAACTGTCCAGTCAAGCCTCAGCATCTTGGGCAATAATAAGTTGTTGTCTTGTCCATACGCAGCAAAAGAGAAACCAAATAGCCTTGACGGGTATTTTAGCCATAACAGTGTTTCAGAACATTTACACCAATATGTGTGTACATATTTGTACGTGTGTGTGTTCATGTATATGGGTGTTTATGTGTGACCCAGCAGCTCCACTTTTAGGGCTTGTGAGCAGCAGATACTACTTGACAAGTGTGCAGAGATTAGTGCAAGATGTTCAAGAATGAGCATGACCTACGTGCTCTGCCTAATTAGAACTGGCTACATTGACAGGTGTTCAGCTATGCCATGGAGTACTCTGCAGCCTTTGAAATGATTTAAATAAATTCACAGGGAATGCTCTCCTTTCTTCATGAGACCCTAACAAATATTTCACAAGGCTGGTGGATCTGGCATATGCAGTTCTTCATCAAGCATCAGAATCTTTGCCCTGAACACTTCAGGGGACTACGACCTACGGCACTTGGTGTCTAACGTGATCCACAGGCATAGCGCATAAACCAAAAAGGATTCCACCTGCAATTCTTTCCTAGGACTCCAGCTGCTGGCAGAATAGAGCCCTCCAGACCTTGCTTCACTTACCAAAGGCCAAAGGTAAGCGACTCCACTTGAGATCGTCTGTGCGGCTACGTCTTCCGTAAGAATCCACGAACACCCCAAATTCTGCAAGGAGTTGGAGCCGGGGGGCGTTGGCACAGTCAGAGGCAACAGAATCAATGGCACCACACACTTTGCCAGAAGAACAAGGGATTGAGCCCAGGGGACCACCAGCCATATTTACCTGGGTCGTTAAGACCTGAGGACCTTTGCTGAGCCACATCTCTGGGAGATGTGTTAAAGGAAAGTGGGGGAGACAGGAAAGAAGGAGCAAAGGGAGGAGGAAGAGACGGGAGACATGGAGGAAGGGAAAGGGAAGAAACAGAGACCCAGACACAGGGAGGGACAGGAGGAGCCAGAGATTTGCCGTGGGGGAGGGGAAGGGAAAGGAGGAATAAAAAAGAATGAAGAGAAACATCAAAAGAAAACCCAAGAAAGAAGGAACAGAACAGAGAGAAAGGAAAGGGAGAGAGAGAAGCAAGGGGCGGAGAAGGAAAGAAGTGGCTGCTCTCAGGACAGAATATGATGGGGCCGGACGGGGCGAGAGCCCTGGTGGGGGCCTGGGGCTCCCGGGCGCCCGCAAACCCTCAGGACAGCGGCCGGCAGGGAGCCCCGACTCACCGTGGAAGCAGAGCAGGTATTCCTCCCGCTGCCCTGCGCCGTTCACCTGCACGATCGAGACAGGGAAACTGTTGGAAGAGGAGGCAAACACAGCAGGCGCCAAGGAATGGTCATTCTTATCCAGGAATTCTGTAAAGGCAGGTGGGAAGCGGGGCGTCAGGGAGGAGCCAGAATTGGCGGTGAGGCCAGAGCAGAGATCGGCTGGGGGGCGGGGGGAGTGCGGCCGGACTAGGACCCTACCCTCAAGCGTGTACTGCTTCATGTCAATTTCGTAGAATTTATTGGTTCCGATGAGGATACTGTAATTGGTGAAGTGGATGCAGCTGCAGGGCTCTGAGGTCTCTATCTCCTGAGACAGAGGATAGAAGAAAACGATGTGAGTGAACACAGGGCAGCCGCATTTCCACTGCTATTCCGTTTCCCCCTCAGGCATCTCACCGAGCCTTGGAGACGGTCGCCTCTGGACTTGTTCACGTTCTCGGCCACACAAAGCACACACACTCAATCCTTTCACGTCCCCCATGAAGACTAGTAATTCCTTTGCTACCTCTGCGTTCTTTGCAACCCAGACCAAGAATATCAAATGGCAGCCCCAAAAAGAGTCAGAAACACCATTTCAATGGCAAGGTTGCAGTCAAAGACAGATCTTTAAAAATAATACATTCTTATCTGAGGAAAAAGACTGGAAAACACAGGGTTGGTTAGAGGGAGTGGTTTTAGCTTCCTTCTTTTTGTGAGCTAAGTTTCTAACACGAACCTCTATTACCTATATAATTTTTCTCATCACCGTTGTTGTCATCTCTTCCCTTCCCCTCCCCCACGGCAAATCTCTGGCTCCTCCTGTCTATTAGTGATCAGCTTTCTAATTACTTCCACTTGTTTTCAGGCCCATCCTAATATTTTCAAAAACCTAGGCATGCTTATTCAAAATGGTGGCCAAGAATTATAAAGAAGCAATGATTTCTGAGGCTTTTCCTAAAGCTAACAGTTCAAAATCTAATCTGCACTATCACCACCGCATATTTACTGAGCACCTGGTAAGTACGAGGAACAGTTAGGGAGCATGACACAGGGAAAGCAGGGAAAAATCAAACTTCAGAGTTTTGGTCTCAACTTTGTAACAGGATCTCAGCTCAATGGCCTCAATGAAATCCCATTGAATCCCACCTGAAAATTGGGGATTACCACCCGTGCATTTCAGGACTGTTGTGAAAAGTGTTTGTAAAATAGTCAGCTGGGTCTTTGGTACCAGTAGGTGCTCAATAAAATAAAACATGCGAACAGCCCACCCAGGATGAAACTGTTTCCCTAACACATAATGACCCTTATATATTCACCCCGCATTTCACTTGAGACTAATCGGGAAGGCACCTGAAACAAATTAGGCTTACAACAGGTGAACTTTTCCTAATCTAGGGACAAAGGCCAGCCTCTGGAAGGGAGGCGAATGATCTAATGTGCACCTTGTCCACACTGCAGTCACCATCACCACCACTCTGCTCCACAGAGAATCAGCTCCCTAATTACACCTAAGAACACAGCACTGGCTTTTCCAAAAGTTATTAATGGAACCGTCTAGGATCCGACAAAGATTCTGTTAAGTGTCGCCAGGGACCGCTAGCTTCTCAGAGAGATCTCCTTCCTTTTTTATGCTAATTTAAAAGTGTCTCTTCCATCAGCCTGCTTCCTTTCCCCTTAACAAAGAGCTGAATTCACTGGGCTGGCTGGAGAGGCAGCTCACAGGCAGGAGAAAGAAAGTGAGAAGGAAAACTGCAGCTACTCAGGGCTCTGGAGCTTTCTCCAGTAAGGAAGGGTGTAATCTGCTTGTCTGTCTGTCTGTCTCTCTCTCTCTCTCTGGAGGTCACCCAGGCTGAAGGGACCGGACACACACTGGTCCCTGAGACAGCACACTTTCCACACTAAGGGGGGGAACAGCAGGACATGCGAGGCCCGGGGCTTACTTTCCGAATGCAGTACTTGCTGAGGTTTTCGTTGTAGCGTAGAATGACAACTTTGCTGGGCATGGCTGCACAGATGCAGAGCCCGTTCTCAATCTGAAAAGCAATCAGGGAAACAGAGAGAAAGAAAGAGAGGGTCACTGGTGTGTATGCTGGCTCCATAGCAAAACTAGGAACGTAACACCAATTCAGAGCAGAGTTTCTCCACTTCAGTGCTACTGACATCGGACCAGAAAATTCTCTGTGGCGAGAGGCTGTTCTGTGCATTGTAGCAGCAAGTTTAGCAGCAACCCTGGGCTCTACGCTCTAGATGCCAATGGCACAACCCCCAGTTGTGAAGGCCAAAAATCTCTCCAGACACTGCCCAGTGTTCCCTAGGAGATAGAACTGCCCTTGGATAAGAACCACTGATTTAACAAAGACCTGGCAAAGGCCCCTGGAAATCACCCAACACGACACACATTTGGTGTGTGTGCACCTTCTGCTGGAGACAGGGTCTTTTGACGATCTTACCCTGAGGGAGAGGGAAGCAGTAGAAATTACCTCAAGAATTTGGAGACCGTGGTTCAAAGAGAAAAGTTCTTAGCTAAGATCTGTGTACGTGCTGTTCTCTTTTTCTGGAACAGCTAAATCACTCTTACTTCGCCTTCCAATATCAGGTCCTTGTCATTTCACCAAGGGCGAAAAGAAGCTTCTCAAATCAGTACTGACACGAAGGTCAGCCGTTGCAGGGGGAGGGGTGGAATGAGATGGGAGGCGAGAGGGAAGGAATATACAGGAAAATGGAAACTGTTAGTAATGTTCTAGCTCTTGGGGTGGGTAGTGAGTTTGGAATGTTTATATTATTAGATGTTATAATTTTATAATGTACCTATTTTTTTAGTAGTTCCAACACTGTAAAATGCCCATTTCTAGGTAACTCATCATTCACAGAAGAAATCATAAGAAATTTTAAATTTTAAAATACGTGAAATGATAAAAATTTACAGGATGTGACTAAAATTGTAGTTAGAGGGAAAATGTATGGCCTTAAAAAAATCTTAAAAAAAAAAAAAGACCTGAAAATTCATTAACTAAACAAGAGATTAGAAAGAGAACAACGGAAGAAAGCCAGAGAAAACTAAAGGCAGGAAAAACAAAGATTAAGGAAAAAGCAAAACTCAACAATAAAGATAATGCTCTCATAGCAAGAATCAGTACAGCCCGAAGCTGCTCCTTTATAAAGATTAGTAAAATCGGTATAATGCTGATGAAATTAAGATGAATGAGAGACCCAGCACAAGTAATATTAGGGATAAAAAAAAATGCAACAGCTACAAGAGAATATACAACAAAGAACAAAAAGCAGAAAAAAGGAGAGGAAAAAAATGTTCTTTTTAAAAAGAAGAATTAAGGGCGCCTGGGTGGCTCAGTTGGTTGAGCGACTGCCTTCGGCTCAGGTCATGATCCTGGAGGCCCCGGATCGAGTCCCGCATCGGGCTCCCTGCTCAGCAGGGAGTCTGCTTCTCCCTCTGACCCTCTTCCCTCTCCTGCTCTCTCTCATTCTCTAATAAATAAATAAAATCTTAAAAAAAAAATAAAAATAAAAATAAAAAAATAAAAAGAAGAATTAATAAAACTGAAAAGGTACAGCGTTCCTTGCTGGGTCCCTGTTGGGAAATCCTGGGTCCTTCCAGCAACGTCCTTTTATCAGTCCCTCGAGATTCACCTCTTCCGAGAAATCTTCGCAAATTCTAGGCCAGCCACCCTTTTCCTTCATAGTCTATCCTCTTTTTATTGCTGCCAGTTAATCCCAACCATTGTATATGTGACTAAGACAAGAATCCCACCAGCCCCATGGCCAGAGGGTTTCAGAAACCAAAGTCCTCAAGAACAGTGGCCACGGGCAACAACGTGGATGGAGCTGCAGGGTGTTATGCTGAGTGAAATAAGTCAATCAGAGAAAGACATGTATCATATGACCTCACTGATATGAGGAATTCTTAATCTCAGGAAACAAACTGAGGGTTGCTGGACTGGGGGTGGGGTGGGAGGGAGGGGGTGGCTGGGTGATAGACATTGGGGAGGGTATGTGCTATGGTGAGCACTGTGAATTGTGCAAGACTGTTGAATCACAGATCAGTACTTCTGAAACAAATAATGCCATATATGTTAAGAAAAACAAGAAGAAGAAGAAGAAGATAGCAGGAGGGGAAGAATGAAGGGGAGTAAGTCGGAGGGGGAGACGAACCATGAGAGACGATGGACTCTGAAAAACAAACTGAGGGTTCTAGAGGGGAGGGGGGTGGGGGATGGGTTAGCCTGGTGATGGGTATTAAAGAGGGCACATTCTGCGTGGAGCACTGGGTGTGATGCACAAACAATGAATCATGGAACACTACATCACAAACTAATGATGTAATGTATGGTGATTAACATAACAATAAAAAATTTAAAGGGAAAAAAAAAAGAACAGTGGCCCCGCGGCCAGGGTCCCCCCCCCCCCCCCCAGAAGGTTCCTATGGCCCACTGCACCCCTCCCCTGTTGGTCCTCCATCCCTCAGCACAGACCCCTCTGAAGGCTCGGTCAAGTACATAGGATGTGCTAGGTAAACGTTGACTGAGTGACCAAATGCCAAATACCCAGTGAGCAGTCTTCTGAGAAGGGAAAGGCAGTGGTTTACAACGGGAGAACTCCAGTAGCCTCAGGGGTCTACAAATGCTTGATTCAGATTTTATTAGTTATATATGTTCATGTGTATGCACCCACAAATATTCTTAATTTTTTTTGATAAAAAAAATTTCCTTAAAGAAGCAGGCAAGCAAATGTATTTATGTGCCAAAATCAATATGCTATTAGCTACCAAAGAATTAACTTGACTTATCAGGAACTGACTTTATGCTATACAAACGTCATAAATCAGAATTTGCAAGTTTTTAGTAATAAAACATTTTGTCATTTAGTTCGGACATGGGGTTCCAGGTTAGATTAAAAAAAAAAAAAAAAAGACTAGGGGTGCCTGGGTGGCTCAGTCAGTTGAGCAGCCCACTCTTGATCTCAGCTTAGGTCTTGGTCTCAGAGGTCGTGAGTTCAAGCCCCATGCTGGGCTCCATGCTGGGTGTGGAGCCTTTTTTTAAAAAAAAAAAATGAAAATAAAAAGGACTCCATCATACATACATACACACACACACACACACGCACGCATGCACACACTCACATGTACACCCACACACACTTTTTAAATTTATTTAATTTTATTTTTTTATTTGTTTATCCGAGAGAGAGAGAGATCACAAGCAAGGGGGAGGGGCAGAGGGAGAAGCAGACTCCCCGTGGAGCAGGGAGCCCAGCATGGAGCTCGATCCCAGGACCCTGGGATCATGACCTGAGCCCAAGGCAGACGCCCAACTGACTGAGCCACCCAGGCGCCCCCACACACTTTTTTTTAAACTATGGATCATTCTTTTAGTTTTGTTAATTTTATCCTCATTTTTCTCTCTGACATTTCCTTTGGACTCAAAGCCTGTGCAAATTTCATGGCTACACAAATTGTTTCGTGTGCCTAAAGGAAGCAATAGAAATCTAACACAATGAGAGGACAGTTAGTTTTCAAGGTCAAATCAATGAGCCCCGTAGAAAGGGGGGCAGAGCTGATTTCCAGAACACTCGGCCCGCCGAGGCCCTGAGGAGAGCCTTACCTTGCCGGCGGCAAACAAGTGGCAGCCCTTCACGGCTTCGAAAACGTTGGGGGAGATGTCGGGCTGGGCGGGAAGGTGAGCTTGCGCGAGGGACTGCTTCACTTTCTTCACGTCAACAAGGCACAGAGCCCGCTCTTCTCCTGAGGGGGAAGGAAGAGCCTCGGGTCAGTGTGAGGCAGGGAAGCAGGGACGCGGGAAGGCAGTTCTACTTCTCCTCACGAGGAGCCAGGCGGGGCCGCGCAGATGAACAGTTTTCCACAGAGTCCTGTCTACCCGGCTCCGGTCCAAGTTTTAGAACTACAGTGAAAAACATCTGGCTTCTAGGTCGAGAAACTGGGATTGGAAAAAAAAAAAATCCTCTGCAGACGTAAAATCCGAGAGCATGAACTGGACTTTTAAACATGCTCCCACCAAAGCGGGAAGAAGGATGGGTTAGGAGCACCGAGGGGACATGTCATAAAACCACAGGCTTGGACTATTCCAATGTGCCCGTGGCGTGGAGGACAAAGCCCCGTGCCAGATTGCAAGGAACTGCAAGGACACCACTAAACGTAACGCACGACCTGGCGCGGGATCACAAATCAGGGCGAAAAATACCAGAAAGGACATTATTGGGGCTGCGGGTAAAATCTGACTCCGGGCAGCGTATCAGACAACTGCAGTACAGCAAGGGTTAAGTTTCCTGAATTCAAAAAACCGTGCCACGTGACACTATCCCGTGTGATACTCCGACGGCGGATCTGTGCCCTGACACGTTTGTCTAAACCCAGGGAAGGGACACCACCAAGAGTGAACCCTAATGGAAACCGTGGACCCGGGGCGACGATGTGTCACTGTGGGTTCATCAGTGACGTCCAAGGTGCCGCTCTGGTGGGGATGGTGACAGTGGGGGCAGGGGGCCTCCGGGAACTCTCTGTACTTTCTGCTCAATTTCGCTGTGAGCCTAAAACCACTCTAAGGGATAAAGTCAAGAAGGAAGGGAGGAAGGTGGGGATGGAGGGCAAGGAAGGAAAGGAAGAACAGGAAGGGAGGCAAGCAAGCGGAAAGAAAGGAACAGAAGAGGCAAAGAGACGGAGTGTTGAAAGACAGGAAAGGCCAGTTCCTGACCCTATTTACCTCACCCCCGGATGCATCCAGCCACACCTGAAACAAGACCTGGCTGTGGATGTTTTTGAACACTGAACCAACAAATTACTGTTTTCCCTTAAAAAAAAAGGACGGCCAATAAAGAGAGAAAAAAAATTTTTTTGCCATGGTTGTGTAAGAGAATGCTCTTGTTCTTAGCTGATATGCTAACGACTTTGGGGTCACAGCTGCAAGGGACTCTCAGATGGTTCAACAGTTAGTGTGTGTGCATGTGCGTCTGTAGAGGAAGAGAGGAAAAATACGGCCAACCGTTAACAGTGGCGGACAGCCCAAGGGTCTCCCAGGGGTCCCGGAGAGGTAAGAGGCCACATGCTAACAGCAGGCCAGCTCTCAGAAGGCCACGGCTCACGATGGCATTGACGTCACCGTGACATCGGCATCAAAGGGTCTGCCGTTAATGATACTTCGGGGCTCACTACTCCTCACTTGGCATAACGGTAAAGTGTTCTTTGGGGGTGTCCGACTGTGCTGCACAGGCCACCGCGGGAACGAGTCTGGGCCGAGAGCACCATCAGCTCGGGCACCGATGGGGACCCAGAGGAAAGAGCCGCTTTGGCTCCCATCTGCCACCAGGAGGGCCTGCCTTTGTGTTTCACAGGCGTGACACTTGGTCTCAAATAGTTTCCCTTGACAGTGAAAAGAAAGCGCCACGCCCTTGGCCTACCACCTGCTATCATGAGGAGCTTCTCCAGGTCCTTGATGATATAAATTTGGAAGACCGCTCCAATTCCGGGGACATGGGTGAGGGAGTTTTTCAAGACATTCAGTGCGTAGAGCCCTTCCTCAGTGCCCACCAACACCACCTGCAGGAACAGAAGTCCACAGGCGGAGCGTAAGCATAACCACGTGCCCACGACAACCCCGAAGAGTAGGAAGAGCAAGAGCCCTTTGGCTCGTGACTGGGGGGGGGGGCTACAGCCAGTGCCCGGAGAACAGCGCTACCTGGTCGCTGAAGGGCAGCGTGCAGTTCATGTCCAGACGGTCATCACCTTCCAGTTTCAGCAGGGAGTTTCCAAGCAATTTCTTTTCATATTGGAACCAAAAAGAAAAGAAGAAAAGGAAAAAAAAAAGGCACAGTAAGTTTGAACTGTTCATAACCAAACCATCCAGAGACAAAAGCAAGAACAGAGAGAAGTTTGGTGCCAGGAAGAAAGTAAGGTTACTCCTGAAAACGCCAGAAACACACATTTGCTCTTGGCTTGCCCCGTATTTTGATCTGAGCTCAAAAGGCAGAAGGTGAATGTTTCTGGTACCTCCGGGGCGGTTGTTAATTAGCATCAGAGTTACGCCTCGGCTTGGACGCAGAAATAAATGAGTGAAGTAGACACAGAGATTTTCTGTGGTAGGAAATAAACTGACGCTAAAGAGATGTCACCCGCAGAGGGTTCATAAGCCACATGGAAGGCTCCTTCCCCTCCAGGCCGCAGCCAAAGTACAAAGCCCAGGGTCGGCAGCGAAGCAGCAAAAGCTTCTGAATCTCTTTACCTGAACCCACGCAGGCAGAAGCTCGTAGGAGAGACGGTCGCAGCCCTATTGTGCACATATTAACGTGGATTTCAATAAAAGGCTCGCACAGGGAACCACAGAACAAGTCATCAAAACAGGTCCACCCAGTGAGCCAAGCTCCTCTCAGGAGGCTCATGGTTAAGTAGTTTGCCACTGCCAACACCGAACATGTTTACTAGGAGCCCAGTGTTTGGTCTTGGGTGGAGAAAACGCCAATGAGCAAGGAGCCCTGTTTATATCCTGGAACTTTCCCGGAGGAGTGATGCCAATCAAGGCACACCTACAGTTCTGACGTCTTAAGGAGAAGTAGGATCCCGAACCTGCCTACAGAAGAGCAGATCATGTGGAAGCTACGGAGGTTATGGAAAGCCCTCCCCGAGTTGGCATGGTTTCGGCAGACTTTTGCGCTGCTTCGTGGCCAAGTGCTTGCAACTCAAGTCTTCAAATAAACTCATCAGAGTAAACGAGAGAGAGGATCTCCGTATGAGTATGTCTGCCGCCACGACCAAGATCCGTCGCGCCCCAAGAGCTGGCTAACGGCGCTGACTCCCCCATTATAAAGGGCTGCAGAGGGAGGGCGTGTGACGCCAGACAAGCCAGCACAGAGCCCGTGTCTTGGTCACACAAGCGCCCCAGTCACGACAGTCTCGGACCATCACCCCTCAGGGAGGCAGCAACAGGGCTCCCGGCACTCAGGTCAGTTCCCACGTCAGCCCACGTCACAAAGACAAGCTCCAGCACCCGTCTTCATACTCACAGCATCGGCTTCTGCTTTTTCCCTAGAAACTCTCCCACCTGCGACAACAGACTCTAAGGCAGTGACCCAGCGCTGTTTGTCGGGGAAGCTGGGAGCCAGCAAGTAGAGCGTTCTCCCGGGCCAGCAGGTGGTGTGCGGGTGAGACTCCATCTTCAGTATGTAGGGGACATCTAGGGGATCGGACAGAGAGCAGGGTTTGGGTGTGGCTTTCCCTCACTCCCAGGGGAGGGATGGCCCTGAGGGGTAAGAGATCCCCCCTCCCAAGCACGCAAGTCCCAGTCCCCCCTAAGACTGCAGAGCGGAGGACCGTGGCCCCTTCTGCCCCTGCTGACTGAGCAAGCCCGGCGCGCCCCTGGTGGGCTCTCCTGCTTCCCCTCACCTGCTTTGGCTGTATTTGCAAGCTCAGAAGCACCAACGGCGCCATGAATAGATACATCCCCGTCGGGAAGGCACAGCTCAAATTCTTCCACCGGCCTCTGTCCAGCTTGGTGCGAAGAGGAAGGGCAGAAAGAAAACCAAAAGAACAGGAACAAGAACAAGGGGAGAAAAGAAGAAGAAAAGAAACAGAGAGCGAGAGCGAGAGAGCGAGAGAGCGAGAGAGAGAGAGAGAGAGAGACAGGGCAAGAGAGACAGTACGCGTGGAAAGAGAGGCATACGAGAACAAAGGAGGAAGGGGAAAGGTGTGCGGAGGAGGCAGAGAGGGAAGATAAAAACAAAATAAAGTGTGTCAGATGAGCAGCACAGTCAAATTTCTGATGCCGATGCGGATTTATGGGCTAGTTGACTGAGGCGGAAGTTCTCTGAAGGTGTATTAGCAGGTAGAATCTTCAGGGCAGCACCCTGCAGGGTCTTCAGAGGGGAGACCTATAGACGTGAGTATCGTACCAATAACCTTTAGCGAAGTCATTTGGTTTTTAATTTTCAAAAATGGAAAATCGTAGAAGGCTGGCGACGCAGTCCGGAAAACAAAACCTTCACGCCAAGACTGGGAGACCTGGGTCAACCACGTGCACTGAAACTGCCCCCTGAATTATTAATTTACCTTCTCTGGCTTCATTGTCATAAATGAGGACTTTGGATCCCTCCAGGACAATGTACTTCCGGTCCCAGCCTTGCTGTCCTCGTTTGTTATTCCTGGGAAAAGAGGGATGGACGAGAACAAAGGTGTGGAGCCCGAGTCACAGGAAGGGGGGAGGGGTGGCGGGGAGGGGGAGAGGGAATCCTAGTCAAGAGGCTTCCCAGGGAAAGCTCGGGAATGGGGGCGGCCTGGTCTGTTCTGTCAGGGGCTGCAAAGCTTCCTGCTACCCCTTGTCGGTTCTGTGGCTGACCCAGGAATGCCACTGGTAGCAGAAGGACGAATGGGAGAAAAGCATACAATTTTAATTTATATGTTCCCGGGAGTCTCCCCCAGACAATAAAGGCCCCAAAAGTGGAGAGGCCTGCGGGTTTGCACACTGGCTCGAACAAAGACTAGCAATTATGAAAAAGCAACTAAAATGTTGCAGGAGAGAGAAGGAAGAAAAAGGTTACTTTAACAAGGGTTCCTTGCAGAGTTCTCTCTGCAGGCCTTGATTCCCTGTCTCTGGTGATAATATTCCTTTCCTCCTGGAAAAGGGAGGGCTGCTTTTACACAGGAATCGCATCTCCGACTTTCAGGAAGAGAGAGGGGAGGTCAGAGTGTCCTTCTGAGACCGGTGTTTGTCATGTGCCTTTGGCTCCAAATATTCCTTGTTTCCAAGTGGCCTATTTTGGGGGGGTGTCTTCACCAGCACCTGCCCCAGCCCGAGGCACCCTGCCACAATACCTGGGCACCTTCATCCACCCTTCCAGGTGCAAGCCGCTGCTGGGCTCCTTGGTCTGGAGACCCGGAGAGTTCATTTTGTCACGGCAGAAGGCCTCGGTGAAGTGTGTGGCATACTCGGCTGGCAGGCCACAGGTGGCTGGCAAGCACGTGGAGCACTTGGGATGACACATCACCTGACATTCTGAGGAAAAGCAGAAAACACCTTGGCGGACCATGGCCCGTGCTTTCCTCTGCCAGCCAAGCCCCCACCAGGCCCCAACACCCAGGCAATCCCTAAGCTTTCCCAGAAGCCAGGCCCCAACAGAGAAAGGAAAAGAGGGAGCCAAGTGTTCTCGACACGGTGTTCCCGACTTCTCCCCAGGCCGCCACCAACAGGTGTGTAAGGGACCTGGTTTGCACGGTTCAGCTGGAGAGAGCACACAGCCTAAAAGTGGGGAGAGAGCAAGCTGGGCAAAAACAGGGGGCTGGAAATCAGCAAAGCACAAGGCATTTTGCACAGGGCGGTGGAGACATGAGCTGGAAACAGGGATATGCTCATTCCTTTAACAGGGGAAAAATAGTGTCCTCCCACTGAAACTAAAAGCTTGAAAATGAATGTACTGCAGGATGAAAAATTTAAAAAGAAAAACCACAGGGGCACCTGGGTGGCGCAGTGGGTTGAGTGTCCAACTCTTGGTTTTGGCTCAGGTTGTGATCTCAGGATCGCGAGATCAAGCCCCGCGTCAGGCTACAAGCTCAGTGCAGAATCCGCTTGAGATTGTCCCCTTCTCTCTCCCTCTACCCCTCCCGCTCTGCTCCCCGACTCTCTCTAATGTAAATAAATAAATCTTTAAAGAAGAAAGAAGAAAGAAAAGAAAACCACCCACCCCCATCAGACAGATCTGTTTGGGTGGAGACAGGCAGGTGCCCACTGCAAACACACAGCCGCTGCTCTTACCAAGACATTTGGATGCCTGGCGCCCGAAGTGCACAGTATCCAGACACACAGCACACTTTGTGGCTCGCATGTTCAATCCTACGTTAAATCGGTGAGGAATATTGTGGTGCATGCGCTCCTTAAGACGCCGACTGAATTCTGAAGGAAAATTAAAAAAAAAAAAAAATCATTAGGTGTTACAAATGATCCCATCAAGTAAAAAAGAAAAACAACCCAAAGAATGGGCAAGAATATTTGTAAATCATATCTCTGACAAGGGACTTGTTGCTAGAATATACAAAAAGCTCTTACAACTCAATAATAAAAAGACAAATAACCCAACTTTAAAACGGGCAAAGGATTTGACTAGACATCTCTCCAAAGAAGATAAATAAATGACCAAGAAGCACATGAAAAGATGGTCAAAATCATTAGTCATTAGAAAAACACAAATCAAAAGCACAATGAGATTCCACTTCACACCCACTCAGACGTCTAGAATCAAAAATGCAGGAAACAAGTGTTGGTGAGGATGTGAAGAAATTAGAACCCTCATACACTGCCGGTGGGAATGTCAAATGGCGTAGCCACTCCGGAAGACAGTTTGGCAGTCCCTCGAAAAGTTAAATTTCAGATCACCCAGCAATGGTATGACCCAGCGATTCCATTCCTAGGTATATCCCCAAGAGAACTGGAAACATACGTAGCCACAACATACAACGTTCACAGCAACATTATTTATAATGGCCTAAAAGTGGAAACAACCCAAATTATTATCAGTGGATTAAGAAACAAGATGTGCTATCCATACAATAGAATATTACTCAATCGGAAAAAATAAAGAACTAATAAATGCTATAACATGGGTGAATCTCAGAAGCATTATGCTCAATGAAAGAAGCCAGACACAAAAAATACGGTATGATCTCACTTACTGAAATGTCCAGAGTAGCAAATCTATTCGGCTTAGTGGCGGCCAGAGGTCGGGCAGAGGGGAGAATGGGCAGTTCTGCTATAGGGTAGAGTGCTTTTGGGGGAGGGAAAGGTTGAGGCCAAAAATGTCCCCAAATTACAATGCGATGGTTGTACAACCAATGGTTGCACAATGGTTGTGCAACCATTGCACAACAATCAAGTGCACAACCCTGTGCACTTGATAAAAAAAAATCATACACTTCAACTGTGTGAATTGTATGGTATGTGAATTTATCTCAATAAAACTGTAAAAAAGAAACATTACAGCAGATTAGTTACGGGGTGTGAAACCATTTTAACACTAACAGATGCATCTAGGTTTATAGGAATCAACTTCAAATCTCCATTATCCAGTTATTAGGAGTATTTTTAAAGAACGTATTACTGCCAGAAGACAGGCTATATGATACCAACGATGTTTGTGGGCCTAAGGGAAGCATATGCTTTTAAGTCAAACATTTGTAAATATTTTAATCATGAAAGTTTTTGTTTTCCAGATGAAATCCTGTATCTAGAAGTTTTCAGAATTCAGTTTAAAAATCAGTTCTGAATTACAGAATTTCTAATTATTAGATACATAAACTGCCTGAAGAATTCTCTTCATGTCCTGTTCTTTCATGAATAACCTCCGTTGGTTAAAAAACTCAACTTTTAAGCCTTAAAAATTGAATTATTACATTTATATTCCACTCTGTTAAAATAACGAGGTTGCTATAGGCCCTCTCTCCATAGTGACCTAATTAAAGACAGCCTTAAACAGCAAAGCTTGGGATCCAAATTTCTGAATCCAAATTGGGTTCTCCACAGAACATGGCCTCCCATCCTTTATCAGAAAGCTGCAAGGAATAAATGACGTGAACGCACTCTGACCCGGTGAATATACACGGGAAGGAGGGGCCTGGGGTCTGAGGAACCTCGCAGACCGCTGCTCTATGGAGCCCGGTCAACAGACACTATGGCCAGAAAGGATTTCCTTCCCCCGTGTTACCATCACTATAAAACGATGACTTTAAGAGTAAAGCTCTTTGGGGCGCCTGCGTGGCTCAGTCGTTAAGCGTCTGCCTTCAGCTCAGGTCATGATCCCGGGATCCTGGGATCGAGCCCCGCATCAAGCTCCCTGCTCAGTGGGGAGCCTGCTTCTCCCTCTCCCTCTGCCTCTCCCCCTGCTTGTGTTCCTTCTCTCGCTGTGTCTCTCTCTGTCAAATAAATAAATAAAAAATCTTTAAAAAAAAAAATAAAGAGTAAAGCTCTTTGATTCAAAGTGTTATGAAAACATAAGAAACAAGAGGGCATCATCACGGAAGAAAAACCATTTGCTGAAGAACCACCACAGACACACCAAAACACCATCAAGATTTGCCACTAACATCCATTACATTGTGATACCATGACGCTACCCCACAGCTCTGCTCTACGATCCCCTAAGACCTTCCAAACCACCTTCCTTGGGCATTTTTTTTTTAAAGAAAGGCAGACTGCCCCATGCGGCGCCGCATTTGGATGCGTCTGGAGTCTTGGAAGCTTGACCACCCGACATTCTCCTACAAATGGACCTTGAGAGCTTGTTTGAAGGTTCTAGCAGGGGAGCTCAGCTACTCATATACCCTTGACCGAAGAATAGTCCTCCGGTGTCAGGGAAGGCCGTCACCTTTGACCAAGCGTGCAGCTTCAGGGGGGATGACACACACATGGAGCGGTGAGGGAGGAGGGGGACACCTGCCTCCCCAGCCACATCAGCCCAAACAACCCTGGTGACCAACGGGGTGTCAGATGTCACAGCCAGACCGCCCTCACAACCTGTCCTTTCTTTTTTTTTTTTTTAAGCCCTTTTCCTCTCTAGATGAACAGAGTACTTTTAAGACCACAAAGAAAACTTCTTACACTGTTGGTAAGAATATAAACTGGATCAAACGATCAGCATTCAAAATGCAAATAATCTTGAATGCAGTGAGTCATTTCCCAAAAACTAATCCTATGGCTGCAGCACCTGCAGAGGTGCAGGGTTTCGCTACAGGGTGCTCCTGGTGGGGGGAGACTGGAAACAACCCTAAATGCCCATCGGCAGGGGTCTTGGTTTAACAGGTGAACCATGTACCCACACCAGTGAGTACCATGCGGCCCTCTCAGAGGACGAGATTGATGCATATGAATTAATAAACACTCCAAGATAATATTTTAAGTGAAAAAAAAAAAGGTGTTTCGCAGGGTACAGCGTGTGTGCTGTGATATTTATAACAGAAAAAGGGCTGAGGAAAATACGCCTATTTTCTCATACTCTTGAAATATAACTATATAAGGTACAGGAGTAACACGACGTGTGCCTACATGCATATGAACTATTGCCGGAAGAATACTCAGGGACCTGGCACTGGGACAGGGGAGAAGACGAACTTCTGACTCTTTGGTATTATTACCCTTAGTATTATTACTTGTCACTTTTACCATATGTCTGCATTTTCTTGGTCAATTAAAAATGATTTTCAACAGAACTCCAGTGGCTCCTTGGGCACGTACCCTCTGGAGTTGACGACTCCTTTCTGCGGCTGGACGGCGGGGCGAGCAGGCTCATGGCACTGGGCTGGTGCTCGGGTGACCGCACGATAGCGGACATGGCGATCTGCTGCCTCGCGGCGGCCGGCGTAGACGGGTGCGGATGGTCTGTGGCCTTCCGGTGGGCAGCTGGAGAGAGACCAGTCCGATGCCTTTCGGTTAGCTGGGTCACCAAGAGGCCAAAACCAAGCAGACTGCCCCTGGGCTGTCTTTCGAGGACCCAAGACCAAGAGAACAGGCATCGTGCCGAATGGACAATGCCAAGGATGCTGTGAATTTTTCAGACTTGGGGGATGTCTGCACTGAGAGCTTCCGGGCCATAGAGACAGATGCTGAACTACTACGACCAATCTGCTTGAGATGGGTCCTCTGCCTTTATTCCACAGACTTGGCATAGGGAGTGCCCCTACCTTCCTCCCGGGCAGACCGGAGCTCGATGCGGGTCTTCTGAAGGGCTTCCTCTAGCTCTGCACAGCGAGCTTTCTCCTTCTCCAGGGCCACCTTCAGCTCATTGTACTGCAGAGGAACCTGTGTGGGCAAAGCAGGGTCCTCTTTCCGTCGACTAAATAAACCCTAGCAATGGAAACAGAGATATCTCCTAACTCCTGGAAACTGGCACTGGAAACTAGCTAAAGGAACACTGACTCAAGAGGAGCAAACCACGAAAGCCAGGAGCATACTCACTGTAAGCGGATTTAGTAAAAATGGCATGTGAAGGGGGGAAAGGGGAGACTGAGCCACAGCCCATTCCAGCCGGCTGGAAAAAAATAGGGTTTCGGAAATTTTCGACAAGAGGGTTCAAGATGCTTGAACTGCCACCACCTCTTCCTTTAGCATTCCCAAGAAGGAGAGCCATTTCCTGAGTCTTTACCCTCAAAAAATGGAAGTGGAGGATGGAGTCAGGAGGGATGGTTCGGAAATCACTCTTGCTTTGCGTTTGTCTCATGATGCTTAGTTACAAGACACAGAGATAAGCGTTTAAAAAAAAAAAAGGAGACCAAAAACCTGAATACTAAAATGGTATCAAAACAAGGGGCTTACTCAAAAAAAAAAAAAAAAAATGCAAATGAAAACACGTACTGGACACGGAGGGGAAAAAAGGAAAACACAGGGAATAATGGGACTGGAAAAAAAAAATTAACAACCAAAAATCAATGGAAACACCCCAGCTACAGCACATGACACAATCAGATAACAATCCGCTGCTAAAATAAAAAAAGATTGAGTATCATAAAAGATTAAATATCATAAGCATAACAAGCACCAACTGTCCCACGGTAGGCCAGAATACTCCCTCCCCTGCAGCCCCCACAGGAGGAAGCTGCCTCTGAAGGCTACTCTCACCCCTTACAGTCCAAGCAGGGCTGGGACCACAGGCACCAACTGCCCACTCCAGCCCCCTCTCATGTATTCCAAGTCCCAGGGGGGTTGCCACTGCTCCCCCAGCGTAGGGATGCCTTTGGAAGCAAACTGCAAGCTCCTTAGAGACCTTTTCCAACTGAGAACACCTGGCCAAACCTACTGGGGCGGGGGGTGGGGGGGGCTCGGTGGTTTAGGGAAGCGTGTTTTAGGTGTAGTAAAAATCTCCCCAGGTGCATCTACATAGAACCCTGTCCATAGTTGTTGTTTTTTTCTTTCTAGTCATAGTTTTTCATTTGTTTGTCTATCATAATTTTAAAGGGATGGAGCAGCACTCAGTGGAGGGCCTAGTTATCCAGTCAGGCCCTGTAGGCAAGTCACCTCAATTCCCTGGTTCCTGGTCTCCTCCTAGGCCTTTGCCAATCAAAAGGACTGGGCTGGGTAATTTCCAGTCTTTTCTAGAGTCCCGTACATGTGCCCTGAGAATCCTTCAACAGAACTAAGAACCCCTTTCTCTCTCTCTGGAATCCCAAACGCATGACCTATAGCCTCTCTATAGTCCTGTACGTGTGACCTGCCAATTCCTCTGGAGTCTTGTACAATGACATCCGTATAAACCTTTCTCTCGGCTGCCACCCCCACCCCCACCCCAGCTGCTTAGGAAATGGGAAAAAAAAAATCATTCCCTTATCAGAGACAGGCACCAAACACAAAGTAGCGTGTTACAGACTTGATTAACAACATGAACACAAAGTAGCGTGTTACAGACTTGATTAACGACATCCCTTCTGTAAGGACTGTTCTGACTAACCCAAAACCTCTTTTCAACCCAATATAAAACAAGAAAAGTGCGTTTTGTTTTATGTTTCTATAATTATCCATCACGGCGGTACTTAATGAATCATAATGACCGAGCAAAAACTCCCCACTTTTCAAACACAAGGACCCACCTTTTTCTTCTTAGCGGGCTGGTCCATTTTGGCTTGCAGAAAGTCAATGAGTTTGGTTTGTTGAGAAATAGTACCTTCCATTTTCACCTTTTCGTGAGAATAGAGAACCTAAAAATTCATAAAGACAAAAATAAGCTCAGCCCTCGAAAGAAGGATGCTTTTAAATTTGGTACTTTAAGAACATAAAATATTAGGTCGTGAGGATACTAGCATATGAAAATTCAACACAGACCACACTGGGCCAATATTTACTTACTTAGTCCTTTTCTATGGCCAAAAACAAAACGAAAAACAGGACTGATAGACGGATAAGTATATGGAAAAGTGTGTTAAAAAAAAGCCAGGGGTTAATATTAGAATCTCAGAGCTGATCATTATAGGTATTTTCCAACTTCTCTGAAGGTTTGGAAATTTTCATAATGAAATCTTGGGGAAAACACACAAAAATCACAATATAAAGAAAGTGAACTTTTCACCACATGGCTTTTGGCCATGATGCTTTGCCTCTGCAGACAATTTTTAAGTAAAATCCCTTTGCTGGTTCTCACCTGAATGTTTTCTAGCTGGTATTCCAGATCGCTCCTTTCGGTCTTCAGCAGATCAGCCCGGTCCAGAGCTTCTTGCAGCCCTTGAGTCAAACGGAAAATGTGATTCTTCTGCAGGTCCATCTGCTGCTGTAATTTGGCTTGCTAGTGGGGAGAAAGGCCAAACAGAGTCTCGATACCACAGACAATACAACTCGTTCCCCCCACTGTTCTTGTTACCAAACTAATTGCAGGCATGGCGCCAATTTTCGGCTTCTGAAATCATCTCGTCTTCTGTCCCAGACGGATGCATGGGCACAGTTAAAAAGAATTTGCCCAGAAATCTCTGACGGCCAGCAAATCACAGGATCCCCACTGTAGGAGGAAGGCTAGCTGGTGTGTCTGTCTTTCCAGTCAGTTACAATTAAGGACACTGCCCCCCTGTGAGTTGACATCAAAGATGCTGCAAAATACTACAATGACAACTAAGCTCCAATTTGTCCTTCGCTTTGCTTTTTAAGGTCCCATTTGCTATTGCGAGAAACCACTGTTCAGGCACTGTGGATGCACAAACAGGAATCATGTCACCTCTAACTTAAGGAGCGCCTTGTCAGGGTGAGGGACCCCCAACCAGGACACAAAGAGCCACAGTCATAGGAGATACTTTTGCAGTGTGGGGAGGAAGGAAGAGAAGAGCCCAGACTCAGCACAGCAGTCAGTAAAACCCGGGGGCGGGGGGATCACTTTAGTGTTTTAGAAATAGTTTTGTGCTGGAAATCTCTCTCCAATTTTTACAATGGAAGTCAACCAGAAAATAAAGCGGGCTGTAAAGATGCTGGTTTTATGGCTCTCCTTCCTAAAATGCTTCTGTTTCTAAAAAAGCAGGAGAGAGCAGCTACCCTGAGGAGACGCCGCCTGATGGCATCCGACCCTGGTGTGACAATCTAACCACCCTGGAGGTGGCCCTAACACCCTCTCCCGTGGTGGCCTAGACTCTCTGCAGACTCAAGGACAGAGCTCCTAAAGAGCAGTAAACACCACCACGGGCATTTCCCAGCAGGCGACGGCAAATCTCCGCGCTCTCAGCCCCAGAAGGCCGAGAGCTACCAACAACCTCAGAACTTGCTGACCCTCTTCATCTCATTTCGCTTCCCTCCACCTATGTTTTGTTTCTCTCTCCATCTCTACTCCTCAACAGCCCTTCCTCTTGAGGGGAAGCGGATTCCTTGAGGCATCACGGTGTGGTGGAACGAATGTGGGCTTTGGAATGCTACAGACCCTAGTATAAATGAGGACTCTAACATGTATCAGTCATAGGACCCGGGGGGAAGCTCATAGTGCCTCTAGAAGCCTCAGTGTCTTCACCTGAAAGTGGGTACAATGCCTGCCCTGTTGGGTGATATACTGAGCGCCATGCCCAGCGTACCATAGATGCTCAAGGAGTTTTCACAGCCTCTCTGTCTCCCCTTCCCTCCATCCAGTTCAGGCTCCCCTCCCCCTACCCGGTCCGTCCCTAGCCCAGCTGTCTTCCCCATGCCGACCTCCTCTGCCAGCCTCCCCGCATCGGTCCTCTGGAAAGCAAGAGATACTGTCAGCAACCAGAGATCACCTGCCCCGTATGCCAACCTGGGATTTCTGAATCAAACCACAGAAACCCCTAAAATATGGGGAGGGGGGAGCAGAGAAAACATTAAGATTACCGCTTAAAGGGAGCTATCAGTCCCCTACGGCGCAAGCGATTTCCGCAAATTACCCTCTTTAGTTTCTTCCCACTATTTTAGGACAACATTAATTACTAGGCAGGAAGCAGAGAATAAGGAGCTGGGGACAAGAATCGGGTTGGTGACAGCCAGGCCCAAAATATGTCTCTAGAACAAACGCATCAACTGTCCTTTAGCTTTCCAAGAAACAGGCTGCTTACTCACTATAATAAAAAAACAAGTGAGAGTGGCAGGTTGCTGCTCGGTGGAATGCTTTTCAAAACCATTTACCTGCTTCCCAGAGAGAGGCAAATGGGGGCTATTCACGGGTCAGTGTCGGACTGAAAGGAGAGCATTAGCTCTGTGCTTTCATCTGTCCAAGAGTTTCACAAGGGTGACAGGAGACCGGCAGGACGCACGGAGGAGCTGGATCACAGAACCGGAGCACCGGACAACCCTGGTGGCTCAAAGGATGGATCAAAACCAACCAAAGAAAGTTCAAAAGGATGGGATTTTTAAAGACACTGCCTGATAAGGGCACCTGGGTGGTTCAGTCGGTGAAGCGTCTGCCTTCGGCTCAGGTCATGATCCCAGGGTCCTGGGATCGAGCCCCTGCATCGGGATCCCTGCTCGGCGGGAAGCCTGCTTCTCCCTCCCCCACTCCCCCTGCTTGTGTTCCTGCTCTCGCTGTGTCTCTCTCTGTCAAATAAATAAAATCTTAAAAAAAAAAAAAAAAAAGCTTCCAAAGCCATTTTGGGCCCAAGAGGAAAGATTTGGGAGAGATATCCATTAGCAAAGTCTGGGACAATGGAACAAGGGCTGGGAATCTGGGCTCCATGACATAAAAAACTCTTTCCAACTCTGAGACTATGATTCTGGCCCCATTTACAAGTCTCTGTGCCTAATGAAGAGGACACTTGGGTTAATTTAAGAAAGAAGACAAATGAGCAAATACAAAAAAAGAAAGAGAGAGAGACAAATGAAGAAACAGACTCTTTAACCATGGAGAACAAATTGATGGTCACCAGAGGGGAGGTGAGTGGGAGGATGGGAGAAATAGGGGATGGGGATTAAAGAGTACACTTAGCATGCTAAGCACGCAGACAGTAATATCTCTTGATTTCAAGATGTTATCATCAGATGGTCTGGTAATGGAATAAGATAGACATGTAGACGGCTTTGTGACAAAGATGTCAAGAAAATTTAATGAAAAGAGTCTTTTAACAAATGGTACTGGAGTAACAGGACAGTTCTATGGAAAACAGTGAACCTCTCTAGCCCGGGTGGCTCAGTCGGTGAAGCATCTGATTCTTGGTTTCGGCTCAGGTCATAATCTCAGGGTCATGAGATGGAGCCCCGCGTCGGGCTCCATGCTCACCGGGAAGTCTGCTTGAGATTCACTCTCTCTCCCTCTCCCCGCGCCCCTCTCCCCCACTCACACACTCTCTAAAATAAAATAATCTTTAAAAAAATAAAACAAAATAAAGAATCCAGATACAAGGAGTATGTATACTATGACCTCACTTCTAGGAAATTCTAGAAAAGAAAAGCTCTGGGGCGGGGCGCCTGGGTGGCTCAGTGGGTTAAGCGTCTGCCTTCGGCTCAGGTCATGATCCCGGGGTCCTGGGATCGAGCCCCACGTTGGGCTCCCTGCTTGGCGGGAAGCCTGCTTCTCCCTCTCCCTCTGCCTGCCGCTCTGCCTACCTGTGCTCTGTCAAATAAATAAAAAAATAAAAATAAAAATCTTAAAAAAAAAAAAAAAGCTATCGGTAGAGACAAAGAGCAGATCAGTGGATACCCGGGGCCAGGGTCAGAAGGTATCAACCAGAAGGGGCAGAGGGAACTTTTTGGATGATGAAAATGTTCTATGTTTTCATTGTGATGATGATTAGTCAGGTGTTTACATTTCAAAAATGATTCAAAAAAAAAAAAAAGAGGACACTCAGGTTAGGCCCTTGGTCACACGCTTATAAAATGCACACCACGACCAAGGATCCCAGCTACATCCTGGACAATAAATATCATTCTTTGTTTCATAATGGTTTCAACTGTCAGTGAAATCTGCCTCAGACTCCACGTCAGCCAGATGTCTGTGCTCAAAAATCTATCTGTGAGGTACAGACTGGGAAGCTGGAAATGTTCTCGTGTCGCTTAAAAGTGAGAAAGAGGGGACTGAATCAGGATCCCAGTATGCTATTCCAAGCCTTGTCACTGACTCACCATGTAACCTTGGACCAAAGCATTGAGCTGTCAGAGCCAACTCTCTTTCCTCGGAAGGAAAATAGGACAGGCAAGATCATTGATTATTTCTGTTCTGTTTCCAACATGTGCCTAAAGCGGGGACATTGCCTATTCATTCCAGATAAAAGACCATCATTCTCTACTTGACCACCAGGGAGATTTTTAAATTTTATGACAGCGTTCTTAACGCTGCCTTTGGTTAACTTCCCACCCATGTGTGTGTAAAATTAATTTTATTGTAAAAATCTTTACTGTGATACAATATACATAAAATTTACAATTTTCACCATTTTTTTAAAGATTTTATTTATTTATTTGAGAGAGAGAATGAGAGAGAGAGAGAGCACATGAGAGGGGGGAGGGGCAGAGGGAGAAGCAGACTCCCTGCCGAGCAGGGAGCCCGATGTGGGAGTCGATCCCGGGACTCCAGGATCATGACCTGAGCCGAAGGCAGTCGCTTAACCAACTGAGGCACCCAGGCACCCTCAATTTTCACCATTTTTAAGTGGACCGTTCACTGGCTCTAAGGACATGCACAGTGTTATGCAACCATCACCACCATCCACCTCCAGAACTCTCCCAAATTCCCACCCATTTTTTTTTCAGGTCTCATTCTGTAAAATATTTCATACTCACCTACAAAATTTGCACCACACTTTTCAAAGTTAATAGTTTAGCAATATTATTTCTATCAGCACAGTCCCTCGGGAGGTATCATATAATAAAACCTCAACGAAACCAGAATAGGTATTCTGGTTAATTGAACTATCAGGTTCACTATGGGTTAAACAGAACACTCTTGGAGTCCTGTTTCTCATTAAATATCTTTATAAAGTATATTTGTCCTGGTTGATCAATTCTAATGAACAAAGCAGAATCATAAGTGATTCAACATATAAGGGAGGGCTTTGGTTGGGGGTGGGAAGTAGTCATCAACTTAAAGAGAAATTTTCAGAATTCTGTTAAAAGGTCCAGGAAATAATATAAGCAATGGGTTCGGGAGACCAATTTGAGCTTTCCATTCTATGTCTCAAAGGCAGGGCATAATTTTTTTTTAATTGAATTAAATGACCAAAAGTCTTCATGAAATTTAGTACTCAGCATAAATCCAATCAAGTCCCTGCCCTGTGCATGAAGTTAATTTGCATAGATGTTTATCAGCCTGAAAATGTAATATACTTTAGATATTAACTCTAAAAGAACAATTTAATTCAATATTCAGTCACCCGTATATTTAATAAACTTCCATTTGGCACATACTCATCTGTGCTCAACATTCTTTTAAGTACCACGTGGGGGGATACAAGTAACAAAGACCCTCTGGCCTTCGTGACACACTCTTTAAACGCGTTGAATACCTTCAAAAAAGCATTAAGTGACCACCTTACTCTTCTTCAAAAATTCAAACTTCAAAATTTGAATGTCTGATCTGGATCTGACCACCTAAACACAACAAATTTTCACCTTCAGAATTCCACCTGGCTCTACTTCTCAGGTGTTTTGTACTCACCTCTTCCAGAAGCCTCTGTTTGAGCTCCCGTTCAGTTTCCAGTTTCTGCTGTAAACTGCGGGCGTTCATTTCAAGCATGGCATGTTTCTTCTCCAGGTCATTGAGCTGGGCATTGGGAAAAATTGGCCATAATGTCATATTTAGGAATGCTAGATACTAATGACTTTCGCAAATACCTTCACATCTAAAGAATCAAGTTCTGAAGATCAGGATATTAATAATTGTTTTCTAGGGACACCTGGGGGTGGCTCAGTCGTTTGAGTGTCTGCCTTTGGCTCAGGTCATGATCTCAGGGTCCTAGGACTGAGCCCCACGTTCAGCACAGAGTCTGCTTCTCCCTCTCCTTCTGCCCCTCCCCCCACTCATGCTCATTCTCACGTGTGTGTGCTCTCTCTCAAATAAAATCTTTCAAAAAATAAATAAATGAATAAATAAATAAATATTGTTTTCTAAAAGTATATCACAAAGGTCCATGTCACAGATAAGCCTTATATGGGGATAGTATTATTTCTAATGGGTCACATAAATAGCTATGACAAGTTCTAAGACAAGGATGATCACTCTGGCTGAACTTAATTAAATAATCAAATGCTGAATGCTTACTATTTGCACAGCATTATATCGGGCCTCTTGGGATGAAACAATGGACGAACTCTCTTAAGAATCTTACATAAAGTCACAAAGGCAGAGAGTAGCCCATAACTAGACATATACACAAACAAGGATTGCTTTGTCACATAATATTTTCGACAAGAGGGGTATGGAGAAGAGAAATTCTTCGTGAATTACCAGTTTCAAGAAAAGATGATATCAATGTCTGGAGTCTGGTTTTGTTTTTTTGTTTTCCTAAAGTAAACTCCACACCCAGTATGGAGCCCAACATGGGGCTTGAACTCACAACTCTGAGATCAAGACCTGAGCTGAGATCAAGAGTTGGACACTTAACCAACTGAGCTACCCACATGCTCCAATGTCTGGAGTCTTAAAGGATGAGCAGAACTTTGCTATAGAATACTCTAAGAACAATCAAACAGAAAAAGATGCTCAAGCTAAACCAAAAGGGTTCATTTACCTCTAAATAATATCCTTAGTTTCCTCATGGGTTAAAAAAAAAAAAAAAGCAAGCCAGTATCAAGGAACTCCAGAGTGTTCCTGAGTGGCAAGCTCTAGCCTTGAATCCAGTAATTTTATTTCTGTGAAATTTTATTTCTGTAAGAAAATCATGGATATTCATAAAGATTTATGTTCATCATAGTGTTCTTTATAACACTATGGCAAAAAATTGAAAGAAGTTCAAAGTTCCAACACAAGTAGAATGATTAAATGATTAAGTAGGTACCTCTGTGTTGTTGAGATTTTTTTAGAACTACATGTTCAAAAAACATTCAGTAACTGAGGAAAAGCCCCTAGTTCTATGTTGTTTTTTTTAAAGATGTAAACTTGTTTACACAGTAAGAATCTAAATTTATTCTAATAGATCAGTGGTGGATTGTCAGTCATCTTTTCCTTTACTTTTCTATGGTTTCTAGACCTGCCACAATGACCCCAAATAGTTACTTTTATGATCATGAAATAACAAATAGTTATACCACATATGAAATTCAGATTCTTGCTTTATTTTATGTGTGTGTTTGTGTGCGTGAAAAAATGCGCATGTGTGAACCTGGGTATATATATGAAATTTCTTTGATCTCCATTCTTGTTATCTGGAACACTGGGGCATCTATTTGAAATCTCTTTCAAGACTTAGATGAACCTCCAGAACATGGGGACATAACGTGGCATGCTATGTGGACAGGACATGCGTATTTCCAATGTAAAATACCGAGGACTCACGTGGCCATCAGACCCTCTCGTGCCCCTGGTCTTGGAACAGAGAGAGGCTGAGCTGCCTACTATTGCAGCAATGGAAGAAGCATTAGTCCTTGCCATTGAGCACTTCCCAAGAATGCTCGACATTAAATCCAGCAACCAACCCAGAGATTAAATCTAGAAATCAGGTGCCAGAAAACGAGAGAGCTGTGTGGCCAGATCAGAATCCAGACCTCAGGGGCCCAGACAGGCAGATGTTGAGAAGTCACCGACAGATTGGGGCACACCAGTCCCCACCATGCCTCCCCACCCCATGCTCTCGCCAACCCAGGGTGTCCCGTGTGGAGCCTAACCCTGCGACTTGATGGGACGGAGCAAACGTGTGTTCGTGAAATATGCTGCCCGTGGATTGCACCTGAATGTGGGTCGAGCAATGCCTTCTAAAAGAGGGAGATGAAGATGTCCTCCTAAAAGGCAGAAGGGATGGGTGCTGACCTTGTCAGAGAGGCTCTCAGCTTTCAGCTTCTGCTCTTTGAGGGCCTGCTGCAGAGCCAGGATCTCAGCCTTGTGCTCCTTCACCGCCAGCTCCACCACCTGGCGGGACTCGGTGATCCGCTGGTCGGCCCGTGCCCTGCCGGGAAGGCACAGACCCATTTCAGAAGCGCCACCATCACCAATCCAGAAAAAGGAAGTGGGCCCATCTCTAATCCCAGTAAGCAACCAGACAGGCTGCAGCTGGACAGAGGCCCAACCCCGATTCCCAGTTCCAAATGATGTCTTGCTTTCTGACTGCTTACAGAGCAAAGAGTTGACCCACTTTAGACCTCGGGTAAAAATACTCTTAAGAGGTAAAGTTCCTGTGAGTACTCACTTGGAAAGGCTGAAGGGGAAAAGGCAATTTTCCAAAAGCAACTGGACTGAATACAATAGAGCAAGACTGCCACAGCTTCCCCTGGGAGCGGAAATGGAATGAGGTCCCCCTGAGGGTCCACAGGAAACCCTAATCGAGCAAACATTTCCTCTCCTTAAAGTCTATGCAGTAAGTTACGTGTTTGAGGTGCGTGTTAGGAAACAAACTTGAATCCAATGATGTATCTATAAATAAGGTTAGAGAATAGAAAAAAACTAGAAGCAAGCTAGAAAAATTGCTGCCCTTCCCCATTTAGGTCTTGTGTTTTGCTACTTCCATACCTGGGCTTATACAGTCTCCTCTTCTGGCCAGTGCTCTCCTCCCCCACCTCCCCTACCCTGCAAGCCCAAATCTTACTTGGCCTTCAGGGATGAACTCAAAAGGCCATGTCCTCCGTAAAACCTTGCTCAATTTCTCCTCTTGCAAAGAAGCTCTCCTTGCTCTGTAGCCAAAGCGTAAACATACTCCTCTCTTGGCACACCCCACTCTCTATCTGAGGTGGTAAATATCCGAAAGCATAATTCATCTTCTCTATGAGACTTGCCTCTTTGAGCACAGGAATTAAGAATTATATTTTACTCATCTCATGATCCCACGGAACACCAAAATAGAGGGGGGGGGAGTAGGGGGAAGAAAGGAAAAGCCAAGATCTTTCACAACTGTCCTTGAAAGTATACATGAAATGTCTTCCTAAGCACAGCCCATAATTATACGTTCCATGGGGAGTTGTGTGTTTGATGCTGAAGCCAGCTTCCGACCCTCAAATTGGTCTCTGAGGGATTCTAGAAACACCTCAGATAGGAGCTGCACTTGAGGGCAGAAGGAAGGGGGTCTGCGTGAAAGCAACCAGACTATACCATGAGAACTCAGGGTGAAGAGGAACAGGAGGTCTTAAATCAGCAGCCTGTCAGGTCGGCAAATACCCCGAGTAGGAGGATATCCAAAAAATGAAAATTTCTACCGGTGTCTCTTCAAATTTAAGGAGTCTCATCTTTTGCCTCCAATCTTTTCCAGTTTAACTGACTTAGCTCCCATTAAATATCCACCACATTTGGCTGAGTCTACTGTGGTCAAGTAAACGCAGGAAATACCACAATGAGTCTGATGGTGCCCAACTAAATGCTCTGTGAGAGGCATTTCTAGGCACAGTTTATCTCACTTAAGGAGTTCAGGGTATCCTAGGAAGGTCAGTTTCAGAGGGAGGGTGATATGAGTGAGGTCATGAAGGACGGCTACAGTTCATTTGTGCACACGTGAAGTCGTGCGCTAACTCTAGCATGCACACTGGAAAATGGGACCCATTCTTCAAGATCATTTATTTCTATCTGCTGGTAAACTGTCATAATATACCCATTTTGTTAGAACCAAACACTTTCCTACCAAGAGCTGTAAAACTGTCATAACCAATCTTCCCATCAACCATGTCTGCAGTGTGAATGGCACCCCCTTGGGGTAGGAAGTCTATGACCTGCACTATCATGGCCCCAGCAGGAAGGAGATTCTGAGTTTGGAAATCAAAGTGGGAAAGCAGAGGAAAGATGCTGCTTGAACTTATTTCCTACCACAAAAGAAAAAAACTAAACTGTTCTTGTAGAGAAGCTGTTCTCCACCAAGGGTGATGCTGCCCCTCAGGGGACATTGGACAACGTCTTGGAGACATTTTTGGTGTCACAACATGAGGAAGGGGTTGCTACTGGCATCTAGTGGGTAAAAGCAGGGATGATGCTTCCATTCTACGATGCATAGGACAGGCCCCACAACAAGGATTATCTAGCCCAAACAGTCCATAGTGCCGAGGTTGAGAAACCCTAGTGTAGACAGGTGACTAGCTTTACACAGGACCAGGATTAAAATGGTGATGGTCTTGCTACATGGTCACAATGATAACAAAGGCAAAGTAAGGGTTTCTGCCAAGAGAGCACTGAGCTATTTGCCCTGCTGATTCCCAGGCCTCTGCATGGGGTAAAAGGACACCAGCTTCCAACACAGACAGAATCCAAGTGACACTGACCATATTTACAAGTAGGATGACCAACCCATCCTGGTTTGCCCAAGAGTTTCCCAGCTTTAGCACTGAAAGTCTTGTATGCTAGAAACTTCTCTCAGTCCTGGGCAAGCTGGGACTGTTGGTCACCCTGTTACTAATGCTCAGGTGATCCCGGTGAAGACACCTGTCACTGGCTTTCTACAAACAGGAAGCCCCACCTGCTCTGCTTCTCGGTGTCCAGCATCCTCTGTAACTCTCGGACCCGACACTCAAACTGGGACTTCTCGTCTCCAAGGACGCTCCTCCACGCCTCCCACTGCCGCTCTTTTTCCAGCAGCTCATCATTCAGGGCCTCCAGGTCCATGACCTGTTCTTCCAGCATCGTGCAAGTGGTCTTCAGAGCCTCCATCGTCTGCAAATCAGTACCACTGAGTTGTGCCTTGTATCAAATGAGGATTTCCCGGATGTTACTTTCGTTGGATCAGTGTCAGAAAAGCACAAGTTTCTAACTACAATCTGAAACACATTGTATCTGTTTTCTTCTACAGACCCAGGGGACCAGCCAAGAATGGATAAAGCCATTTCTGCCACCATCTTAAAGACAGAACCCAATGCAAGCCAGGAGTTAGAGACTATGCTTAAAAGTCAAGGGGCTCACACTAGCCTCCCAGAATATTCTATTTTATTTTTACCTTTTTTTTAAAAGTCAGAATTAAGAGAACAACACACTTTTAAAAGTTACTTTTTCCAAACCCCCAAGCCCTCAAAACATAGACGTGCTGATGAGAAAGAGTCCATTTAACGGACAGGGCTCAGTCTTGGATCCCTTGGGAGAGGTATACCGGGCGCCTGCTCTGAAATCTAACAGGATCAAAGGGTGCCAGGGGTCTCTGACACAGCATACTGCCCTTACTTGCTTCTGGCTCGTGAGCTGCATCTCCCTCTCCGTAATCTCGCGGCGGAGATGGTCTACCTCACTTCGTAATTGTACTATCTCATCGTTGGCGCCAGAAGCCTCGTCGAGTTGTTTGGACAAGTAGAAATTTTGGTTGTTGAGCTCAGCGTTGTCCTCGGTCAGCTGGTTTAGCTGCTCCTCCAGGTCTGTGATTACCTAAAAGAGGAAAGGAACCCGGTTCTGCATCCAGCAAGTCCGTTTGAAATGAGAAACTGCTTCCAGAGCCGCTGATTTTGGAACCTACGTGACAATAACAATCCACGTGCCACTCACATTTGCTCATCCAACCCTGGCCGCCAAAGCCAAACTCCCGTGCCCGCCCACTTAGCACTAACACACATGTGCTGTGGTGGAAAAAGAAAAGTCTCTGATTCTTTCTCACTCATGATTTAACTGGAAGACATGGCAAAAATAGATCAATCAAAAGTGATTGCCATATGGAAGGGGCAACTTTAAATGAGATCAAGTTAATGGATGATAATATAATGTGGAGAATGCAAGCCAAGGAAAGGCGTCTAAGAGACTGGCATCACAATCAGCTAATTAAACAAACGGCACCATCCAGAGGACAGTAGAACTGGAAATAGTCTTAGAAAGCAAAATAAAATTCTTATCAAGGAGGACTGACTATGAAGGACACTAAAAGTTATTTTAATATCTCAGCAATAAATTTAATTTCATGCAACAAAAGGAAAAAATTTAAGGGAAGCTCAGAATAATCCTGAAAATATTGTACTATGGCATCACTTTAATGGTTTTTATTATACAGTTAGCTATCAAAAATGGGAAGGCATGTATATGAAATTGTCATTTTATTGAGAGAGATTTAATCTGGTTTTGCTAAATTACTTCCCTGCTCAATGGCAGAATGACTTCGATTTCAGTGCATTTAGCTTCCCTATTCTCTTTTCTGAGGTTCAGTATCAGTGCTTGCAGAGAGCTTTTGTATATAATACTTTCGAAGTTTAAGGGCAATTTTCTAATAATAGTTTGAATGAAGCACACAGGCAGTAAATTAAATTTTATGTAACAAAAAGAAGTAAATTAAAAGGAAATGCCTTGAAGCCTACGGTTTATTGTTTCCAAGTCCCAAACCTAGAGTAGACTTAGTTTATGAAATGTTGCCACTGTTTCCATGACTAATTCCCTATTTTAGCCCCCTTTGATTATCAATTTTAAAAAAATCTTCCCAGCCACAAAGAATTAAAAAACACCAATTAAGAACATTTGTTCAATGTGGCTCAGAAAACAGAGCTTTTCATTTTGTTAACTACGCTGATAAGCTTTTAATGTAGTAAGTGGTCTAGTAATGTGTACTTTAATGTCAAAAGCCCTGCTAATTCCTAATGTACTGGTTGAGGTGCACTGTTGGCTACAAGATGGGGAATAAAGGTTATCTGCTTGGGTCCTTAGCTAGGACTCCTTTATCAGGGAAAATGGGAAGACTGCAAGTTTGTCATTTCTAGTCGGCAGTTATGCCTTAAAGGGATCCCTGGACCACCCTTTGGGTGCATGGTTAAATCTCCTAAAACCAGAAACAATAAGTAAACAATGCCCAATAGTTCAACTGGTCTCCATCTTATATGCAGTGAAGCCATTCCTTAAATTAGTTTTCATCCTGGACTATAAATGTCTCCATTTAACTACTATGCTTTTTAATGTCCTTCCCCCCAACACACCAAAAACAAAAACACAAGAAACAGAGGCAAGCTGGCCTGGAAACTATGTTCTCAAATGGAGTCTGGAGCCCCAAATAAAGCCATCTTGAACTTTGCAGGGTTGGGGTAGTGATAAGGAGGTAGATACTGTATTTACTACCTCCTCCGTTCCATTTTTTTTTAATGTTTTGAATTTTCTTGCATACTATTCTACTTTAATGTAGCCTGTGAAATACAAGGGATTAAAATTAATGACCAAGATAATGCTTCATTTTAAAGATTATCATGGTACCTTTTGTGGAGCAAAGAGGCTACAGAAAATCTGCTCACATAAGAATATACACGTTGCCAGGGGCGCCTGGGTGGCTCAGTCGTTAAGCGTCTGCCTTCGGCTCAGGTCATGATCTCAGGGTCCTGGGATCGAGCCCCACATCGGGCTCCCTGCTCAGTGGGAAGCCTGCTTCTCCCTCTCCTTCTCCTGCTGTTTCTGTTCCCTCTCTCTCTGTGTCTCTCTCTGTCCAATAAGTAAATAAAATCTTAAAAAAAAAAAAAAAAGAATATACACGTTGCCAAAATAATTTACTCAGCACTCAAAGACATACCTAAGCCTTTGGGTTCTCATTCCCTTTCTCTGATTTATGGGGAAAAAATTGCAATTTATTATTAGCCCATTTCTGCTAACTCTTCTTTCAAAATAGATTATAAAGTGCTAAAGACAAAATACTTGAAAAGCTCAATGAAGTGCCAAGATTATGACTCTCACTTCAGTTGAGACGGGCCCACCGGAGTGGGAGGCATCCTTCTACTTCCCTATTGCCATTCAGTTTTCAAGGGGTCTCACATCTCTGATTTCTACTTACAGTTTGTGAATGTTGGCTCTACCCTATTTTGCATGTTTGTCCAGAGGAGGCTTATGTGTTCGTGTGAAGCACCCAAACACTCATTAAAGCATTTTAACTCATTCAGACTTCTTATATATTCTTTCTGCCAAAGGCATAACATGTTTAGCTTGTGACTCTATTTTGAGGCGCTGGAGTTGTGGTATTAAGTGTTAGTATTAGACACCCCCCCACACACACCCACACATACATTATTGGGTTTACAGATATTGAAATGACTTGCGACACAGGCAGAAAATTAATGGTCTCCATGGTTTAAAAAAAATTGTTTTAAAGTATTGTGATAGGCAATCTGTGATTTTGAACCAGGTAACGTGCAAGGAGGATTCTTAGGTCTACCATGTGTCCGTGGGTGTATTCTCTCCATACCAAAGGCAAGTGATCTGTTTATTATTAGTCTGTTAACCTTTCAACCCCAAGGATACAGGGTAAAAAAGAGAAACTGAAAGGCTGACTCCATCTTAGCAGTGAGAAGAGGGAGACAGCTTCCTAACACAGGGGCCAACAGAGCTTTCTTCTATGCTGTTTTTGCAGATAAGAGATCGTGATGCATTTCTAAGAGGAAATAAGGATATAAAAAATGATCTACTCTCAGTGTCCGAGAGAGAGAGAGAGAGAGATCTCTATTTGGGGTTATCTGTTGCTTTTCAAGCAAACCTGACAGTTCTGAGCAAGTTCTGTTTACCTCTCACACCTGAGGGGAAGACCAGTAGGGAGAAGGTTACCAGGTATATGTTCAATAGCGCAATGGGGGTTAGAAACCAGTCAGATGATGAGCATCGGGCTAAAAAGACACAGGGCTAAAGTCCTACTGGAATGTCTGGTTCCTCCTTGAAGGCAGCTATTTGCATATTATTTATTTTTAATCTTATAGCTGACAGATTGATTCATAATTAAAACTGTGTCATATGTTTGCCCACCAACTCCCCTCTGAAACAGACTTAGGTAGGGTTTTAGGTGCCAGATTGGATCAAACCCTTTTTTTAAATCTCGTCAAAATATAGAAATGGTCTGAGCTGGAAAATCTTACAGCTCATGAGCTTTTTAAAAGTTGCTAACTGGGAGCTCCTATCAGTTGAGTTATTACAAGAGTTCCCACCAGTAACAAAGATGATGTCTCCTTGCAGAGACAATCTCAGATAGTGCCAGTAAGACAGAAACATCCATCAGGCCCTTCAGAAGTGTCTTTAAAGCAGACTTTGAAGTTGAAAAAGGGTAACAGAGATCTGCTATTGCTGCCAAATGTTGTCCTAAAGCAGTGGTTTTCAAACTTTTTAAAGGGGCAGACCATTTTCTAAACAAAAGAATATGTCCTAAACCCAGTATAATAAAATATTAATAGTAACCAATACTGTTTAGCTATGGACCAGTCCCTGTGTAATCCCTTGGATACATCATCTAATTCTTGCAGGACCCCCATGACACAGGCATTAGGACCAAATTTGATTCTGTGACTTAGTGTTTCCTAAGTTTTGAACGTATATTGGAACTAAGCCACTGTCTCTCTGCCCTCACCAAGCCCCCCAAAGAGCAGTTATTAAATGAATTATGCATCTTATAATTGACGATATATTGAAATGGGGAATATACAATGTCAGTGCCGTTTTACAAGTAAGCGAATGGAGGCTTGGGAGTTTAGCATCACACAGACAAAGAGGCCAATTTCGAATCAGAACCCAGTCTGACTCCAGAGTGCATGGTTGGACCACGAGCAACCCAGCTGCTCTTGCCGAAGTGTGGGTGGGGGGGTCACTCTTTCGAGTTCCCCCTTCCCACTGGGAGAGGTCCCAAGGCTTCTCCACAGAATGTCAGAAGTAAGTAAAGCAAGGATTAGAAGTCACTGCTCCCATAAAAAAAGCAAATGTGAGGGATCAAGAGAATATAAAAGTTACATAAGAAAGTAACCAAATTCATTCTACATACTGGCATATTCTATTTAAAAACAAACCTCTGATTTTTCAAATCTGGGGGTGGGGATCATTTCATTTCTCACATGGAAACATTTGAGAGTAAACCAATACATTTGTTATTTTGATTGTCTTGCAGGTTTCACAGCTGTGTACACATTTCAAAACTCGTGAAGGGGTGCCTGGGTGGCTCAGTCATTAAGCGTCTGCCTTCAGCTCGGGTCATGATCCCAAGGTCCTGGGATCAAGCCCCGCATCAGGCTCCCTGCTGGGTAGGGAAGCCTGCTTCTCCCTCTTCCACTACCCCTGCTTGTGTTCCCTTTCTCGCTGTGTCTCTTGCTGTCAAATAAATAAAATCTTTAAAAAGAAAATAAAATCTTTAAAAACTCTTAAAGTTACTGTACTCCAAGTATACCTCAACAAAGCTATAAAAATGTTTTTTAAAAAAGCTCTTATTGGGACGTCTGGGTGGTTCAGTTGTTAAACATCTGCCTTCGGCTCAGATCATGATCCCAAGATTCTGGGATCGAGCCCCACATCAGGCTCCCCACTCGGTGGGGAGTTTGCTTCTCCCTCTCCCTCTGCCTGTTGCTCCCCCTGCTTGTGCTCTGTCAAATAAATACATAAAATCTTTTAAAAAAAGCTCTTATGAATATGTGGCGCGCGTGCGCGCACGCGCGCGCGCACACACACACACACACACTTATTCAGTGGAATATTACTCAGCCATGTAAAAGGGATGAGACTGTGCCATCTGTGACAACATGGTTGGACCTAGAGGGTATTAGGCTAAGTGAAATAAGTCAGACAGAGACAGACAAGTACCATATGACTTCACTTACATGTGGAATCTAAAAACCAAAACAAATGAACAAACGAACAAACAAAAAGCAGAAGCAGACCCACAAATACAGAGAACTGATGGTTGTCAGAGGGGAGGGGGAGGGGGAGAGATGGGTAAAATACATGAGAGGGAGTGGGAGATACAGACTTCCAGTTCTGGGACGAATAAGTCACAGGGATGAAAAGTACAGCATAGGGAATATAGTCAATGGGATTGTCATAGAATCGTATGGTGACAGATGGTAACTACACTTGTGGTGAGCCTAGCATAATATATAGAGTTGTTGAATCACTGTGCTATAGACCAAAAACTAATGTAATATTGTGTGTCAACTATACTTCAATTAAAAAAAAAAAACTGTTATGCCAAAAGACTAAAAAAAGAGAAAACTCCAGATGAAGGATTAACGATGTACACATTTATAACATATCCAAGTTTATTTTAGGAAAAAATAGTAATATAAAAAAAAAATCACGGTCATAAAATGATCTATGTTTTATTCAGTGATCATTTACGAGCATGTATGTAATATAAGCAAATAACTCGCGTGTAAAAAAAGAAATCGAGACAGTAAGAAACCAAAAAAGTGGGGGCACGAGAGTACAGGAAAAGAACGCATCAGCAACTCAAGGAAGAGAGGCAGAATGGAGGAGATCGGGAGACGCTTTTAAGGCGGGCCTACCCCTGATGCAGCCATTGGCATCAGGAAATACAGACCAAAAATCCATCTGCCAGGTACCTGCTAGAGTCAAACAGAGGCATATCATGAGATATATACTAGCTACTCCACTCTTCGGTATATGCTCGTCAGAAACAGGTGCTTATGGCCACCAAAGGACTCAAGCAACAGTGCTTCCTGACAGCTGTGTTCCTAACGGTAGCAATTCAAATTCCATCAGCAGGGGAGTGGATAAATAAACTCCACGTCTACGCATCCAATGGCAACGCTACACCATAATTAATGAAAGGGAACAAATTCTTGACGGGTTCAACCACACTGATGAACCTCACAGACAATTTAAGTAAAAAAAAAAAAAAAAAAAAAAAAAAAAAAAAAACTAAGCCCAAGAGAGCACATCCTCTGTGATTCCATCTGCCTGAAGTTCAAGAACAGGCCAAACTGATCTCTGGTATCAGAGGTCAGAACTGTGGTCATCCTTTGGGCAAAGGATGCTGATAAGAAGGGGACGTGAGGGAGCCCGTTGGAGACTGAAAATGTTCTGGATCTTGATCTATGTGGTGGCTACACAGTTGTCTATATGGTGCAAAATTTTCATTCAACTGTACCCATAAGATTAGTGCACTTTATGCATTTTACGGTGTGGATTTTATAACTAAATTAAGGAGGAAAAGCATACACTCTTAAGACTTAACATCCCATTTATAATAGGTAAAGAGGAAAGAAAGAGTTCATTACAAGACAATAAAATATGTACGTGGGGAGTACGGTGGGGTTGTTTCTGGAAATTCACAGATGCAAATAACACAAATGGAGACAAGTTCACTGAGGACTAAGAAGGTAATAAAGCCATGAAAGTACCAAAGAAAGGAGGTGGAACCATGAATAAAGTGACATCCTATCTTCTGAAAGGGCCCTATTTCAGTCCTTTGTTCCAATGGGAAACAGAGCAAGCTTCTGCTGACCCTACCCCATCACATAATCTGTGCACGACACTTCTCCACCCACAGAATTTACTTCTCTCCATATAAATGATGTCTCCCAAAGAGCCATAGAGTTTTATTTTGCCTGGTAGGAAGTTAAATTTCTAGGTCCACAGAACTTGCCAGACTTTCCTCTCTGCGGCAGTGGCGGGCTGGAGAAGCCTTGGGTCGCAACCACCTCCAGCGTCCACACAGCGTCTAGCTGGGACTAGCCTCGGAACCTTCTACACTGGGGCGGGAGTGGGAGCTGCCTTGGGACTTGCTGCAGCTACTGCAGCCTATGCAGTGAGAACCATTCCCACCACTCCAACTATCCTTCCCCAAACATAAAGAATGGTTTAGAAATTTTTAAACTGGCAGGAACCCAAGAACCGGCATTATCTGAGGCTCAGGAAGTCCAAATCAGTTTGACCCCATTAAGTGCTTCAAGTGGAAAGTCTGTAACAAAAAATCGGTCAGTTGATATTATAAGAGATGCCCCCTCTTCCCTCTTGGTGTCTAGTCTCATGTTATTTGAATCATCTTTAGATTTAATACTCACAGTACAGCTGTTACGAAGGGCATCAAATTTGCGCTGGATTTCATCTCTATGGGCCTAAAAGGTAAGAAGTCGATTATAAATTTTCGTAGGGTAGGTTACAATTCTACATGCTATGGATCAAATAAAGAAAAGAGCGATTAAACTAGAAAGCCAAGAATGCGGTTGCAGCCGCCCAAACATCTGGTTTTCAAAGAACTAATTAATCAAGTCATGTCCAACATCAGAAATTAAAGTTATAGGAATACACAGTGCTGTGTTAACAACACTTGACGACTTAGACCCTGAGAGACAGACGCACGCACACACACACATGCACACGCACGCAGACACGCACGCACACACATACGCACGCAGACACACGCACACGCACGCAGACACACACACGTGCGCGCGCAGACACACACACGCGCACGCGCACGCACGACAACAGCCAGGAAAAACAAGGGATTTTTTTGTTGTTGTTGTTAATCAAAAGCCGCCGAGATTCAGAAACCCGACGTTGACCTTCAAGTAAGCAGAAGACCTTCTCCAAGGCAGAGCTGCTCCACAACAGCAGCATTTGTTCAGCTGACACTCAAGGACTTCGAGTGCACCTGATAGGCCATACACTGTGGGGCCGTACGGCACACGTGGAGCTACCGCCACTCACTGAGGGAGGGGAGAAAGTTAACGAGTCGTGATTACAAACAGTGACAAATGCTATGGAAGAAACAAACAAGGTGCAGGAAGAAAAAGGATAAAAGGGACAGAAAGGAACTTACTTAGATGGGGTAATCAAGGAGGGCTTCTCTGAAGAGGTGACACTTCAACTGACACCCATACTATGATGAGGAGCCAGCCATGCAAAGAACAGGAAAAGGCAGAGGGCCAAAGTCTTGAAGCAAGAAAGGGTCTGGTGCATTTGACGAACAAAAAAAGGCCTGAATGGCTACAGCAGAGCTTTTCAAACTTCAAGCTATGACCCAAGAGCAAGTGTGACAAGGGGGGTTTTTCTTTCTTTTTTGTTTTGTTTTGGTTTATTCGATGAAATAGAATAAACAGAATAGAACAGAGAACACTGGGATGTACCTTGGATAGGGAGGCACTGTCACAGGACACTTCTGTTCCAAATACCATAATTCACCAAATTTAGGAGGCTGTCAATCATGACATTGTAATTTTACGTGGCATTAAGGAAAACAAGGTGCTGTTGACTAAACTATGACATGTCCACATGTCTGTGTGTCCACATGACTAGAGAGTCATATACCATCTATGACTATAAGATGCACCCTGATTTTAGATACCTTAGAATCAATGAAGTGGAATATATATATATATATATATATATAT